CTTTTTGCCACGGAAGCCTTTGCCATGGTCGACTCCCTCCCTGTGAGAGACCATGATGGCCATGATTCCAAGTTGACTGGTGACATCTCCCTCCGTTGGACCAATGCAGCAGGATCAAGCAATGTTATAGGTTCCATCTGTCTTCGCAAGGTTGTTGGTCGTGCAGAGTTCTTTATTGAATACTATGGTAAAAGGATCCTTCGAGATGGCAACAATAATGTCATCAACACCAGCACCAGGCATAGTGGCACCATCTCCTTGCTTAACCGTGGCCTTTGGAAAGTCAACAGCTCGAAGAAGAGAAGCCGCAATGACAGAACCAAGCGAGCTTTCAACATCAGGATCAGTTTCCCTAACAGTGTTGCTCTGGACGGATTGACCGAAGTCACAATGATGGTGCCTTTGCCTCGTGACGATGAGCTTATGCCGGCTGCTGTTGAAACTTGCGAGCGCTTCCGTGCTGCCCTTATCTTTGCCAACGGTGAAGCCCAGCACTTTGCCGGCTAGCTAGCTAGCTAGAACGTGTAGTGGAAAGGCGAATCTCAAACAAACGATAATCGTACTATAGAATACATTATAAGACTACGATTGATTGGCCAACTCGCTAGCACGTCATAGCAGTAGCTTGCGCGGCAACTCACACTCTTCGGCGGCACCGTTACTCTTCAGCATCAACTGCACAACTCACTCTTCGGCGGCACCGTCACTGTCGTTGCCATCGTATCCCCACTCTTTGCTATCGAACGCGTCTTTATGCTGCACCAAATAGCAGCTGTTTGCCGCAAAGAAATGGGACCATTCACCGTCTTTCGTCATTACGGGGACACGAATGAACTCTTTGGGTTGGTCGATACCGTCGTTGGCCGCAGCGATTGCTTTTGCTTTCTTCTCCGTCATTGATACTCCGGCACAAAGGAAGTTCTTGCAGCCCGAGCAATAGAAGGCGGTGTTCTGTTTGCAGAGGCGACAAGGCTTGCGGGCATCAACCTTCTTTCCTTTCGTAGCAGCATTCGGATCGGCAACTCGGATCATCAGCACTCGTCCATCGCAAGCTCTCTCTCGCTCTTGGTGGAGCTCATTGAGAGCTCGTCCTCGGCAGGGGGTGTAGCCAGCCTGCAAACTGTCGGCCCATCCAAGCTTTGCGGACTCCTTGTACCCTCGTCGGAATCGTTGGGGAGGCGTTTCCGGAACAACAATGAGAGGACGAGTGTTGCCGTTGGAAGCAGTCGCAGCAGCACTAGCTCCTGTCCGTTCCTGCTCCATGCAACGAATGAGCATGTCAATGCTTCGTGACATGTCGACTCTGTTGTTGGCAGCGTGTCTAGCATTGAATATGGTGCTGTGCTTGGAGAGCTTCGTCTTGATCATTTGGTTTGTCCTGTGAAATGCAACTCCACCAATAGTTAGAAGACGAGCCGTTGCAATGTTTCGAGGTGTGCGGATGCCAAGCTTCTCTTCGACGTTGTCAATCAGCTTTGTTGTGGTATCAGAAGGACCTTTCATTGCGTTCCAGTAGGCGTTCTGGAAAGGAATGCACCGTGCTGCCGGCGGGAGCGGGAAAGATATTCCTTGACTGATTTCAGCATCAACATTGAGCGCTCTCCAAACGCCATAGTTCGTCCAGAATGAGTGCTCGTCAAGATGGTTGACCTCATTTATTGCGTGACCAATAGTAGGACCGAGCCTTTCGTTCAGCTCTGTTGTGGAGTATTCGTAGAACGGCTTCAAGTAGGAGAGGTAGAAGTGATTCATTAGTTCCGTGTAGGCGTCCAAGAGAGCCTCATCAAAAGTTACATCAACTCCATACATTAGACGATTCTCAGAGCCGACCAGAAGCAGTCCTCGTGACGTCCCGGAGACAAATGCTCCATGCAACAGCTGGAACGACTCATGCTGTTCCCGTCTTGGGTTGTTTTCATCGTGCAGAAGCAGCCTGAAGAGAGGGTCGCTTGATGAGGCGCTGACAAGGTACTTTGAAGTTCGATTATACTCTTCGACACCAACTACATCCTCAATTCGATCGGCGGCCTCTGTCATTGTTGACTGTGCTACTCTGCTTTTCACCTCGACTGGGAGGAAGACTTCATCATCATAGTCGTCTTTCATGAAAGCCACTGCATCCAAACTCGCCTTTGCGAATCTGCTTCCTTTCTTCCGCATCAAACCCACTCGATAGATGGCTGTTGGTTTGAGTGCGGAGAATGAGTAAGCTTGATTGTCCCCTTGCTTCTTGCATTCGTCAAAGAAGGCCTTCAAAAACGGCTCTTCATTGCGATGACCAATAGCAGCGGCACCCCGATCGATATCATTCTGTGGCCGAATGAATGATTGTGTCAACAGTCGCTTGAAGGGGGCCATCGCATCCAGCTCACTCGGTTCAAGTGAAGCGTTCTTCTTTTGCGGCTTCTGTCTCTGTTCACTTGCAGGCTTGACTAGTTCATCAAACTTCTTGCCTTTCACAGCAATTCCTTTGTCAGAAGCAATAGTCTTCAATTGGGCAACGGTAAGAGGCTCAAACAGCCGTCTTTTCTTCGGCTTTGACAGCCAGTCTTGAAAGAATTTCTTCGTCGCAATGAGCCCTGTTTCCTTGAAGTTCGTCTTCTTGAGTAGTGACTGCATCCAACAGAGCAAATCAATCTTATCCTTAGCTGTTGCTTTGTCCTTCAGGGCACACTCTTTAAACGCAGCATCCGCATCACCATTTGCCAGATCAACAAGCTTGTCGATCCATTCTTGGGCTTGAACTCGAACGGGTTTGTCTGCAGGAAAGATATCATTGGATCTGTCGCTGTCATTGCCGTCAATTGAATCTTCTGCGGCGACGGCGGCTTCGGCTGCAGCAATGGCGGCTTCTTCAGCAGCTCTAGCTTCCTCTTCTTCTCTTTTACGGACCGCACTCCCAAGGACGCTCTTGTCAACTCCAGCATACTCGAGGACGGTTTCAAAAGCCATCCACAAGTCAAGATCATCTTCGTCCATCTCCATGAGAGGAGCAATCTCAAGAATAAGGGAACAAATGGTGCTGGACGTGCCGGAAAACTGTCGATCAACAAACCAATCGGCAGTGCCTTGAGTGCATGTCCTTGGCTCCAGCTTGTCGAACAGCGTTGTAGCATGGGACTCATCAGGATCACCTACAAGCAACTTCATGGCCTTTTTCTTTCGGTCAAGTGGATCCATCTCTTTGTCGTAGTACCAACGGTGGTCCGCTTCGCTTGCCGGAGTAAAATCGTAGTGGTCCCTCCTGTAGATCGAAGAGGCGATCATAGCAACAGCAGTTCCAGTTCCACTCCGATAGGCAAATAGATCAAGCTTCCGTTGTGCTTCCGTTCCCTTCCATTTGAGGCCCATGTGATAGGTATCTTTGTATCCTCTCATGTTGACTTTCTTTGGCTTGTTTGGAAACTCCGCCTCAGCATCAACCTGCTGCGGCTTTGTGGTATCTTCCTTCTCACCCTTAACAAATGTGTAGGGCACCCAATCCATCCGCCTGACTGTGCCGTGAATGTCGGCTCCTTTCTCGAGCAGCTCAAACATGACCTTCGCATTCCAATACCCTCGGTCCATGAAGAAGGTCACATTCGATAGTCGAACCAACTTGCCGGTGTGCTTTCCAAAAAGATCGTTGATGAGTCGCCTTGTACACTCTACGACCGTCTCTCCTTCTCGCTGAAAGGCAACCTGAATCGGAACACAAGTGGCCGAATGACAGCAGGTGTGAGCGGTGAAGCCTCGCCGGTTGTCTTGTGCATGGTGATCTCTTTTTAACCCGTCGGTGTCCGTGATTGCACTGTAGTTGAAATGCAATTTGTCATCGTCTAAACCAAGCAACCAGGGCATCACCAAGCGAAGGGCTTCAGTTTCCTCATCATCGTTTGGTCCAATGAAGAGCTCCATCAAATAATCATTGATGATCGTTTCTAGCTCCTGCCAAAACGATTCTCCCCGAGCATTCCTTGGTAGAGTAGAAAGTCTGGACCAGATCGTGTTGTATTGCTGCGAAGGCATCAAATCAAATTTGTCGATAGAGCGATGCAAAGCAGCAACAGGCATTTTGTACTGGCAAGACTTCAGAAAGGTGACCATGAAATGCAGATACTCTTGTTTCGAGAGCTCTAGTTTGGTTTGGAATAGAACTCCAATCCGACTGTCTTGACCAAATAGAAACTTGTAGGCCGCCATCTTTTCTGTCGTGGCATTCAGCTTCTCCTTTATCTTGCCAATGTTGCTCTTGAAGAGACCATGCTCTTGCTTGAATTGATGCCAAAGCACTCTTCTCGCCTTGCCCACGGTGACATGGAACTTGGTCTCTTTTGGGTCCACTTCCGTCCAGTCTTTCAACGGTGGTGGGACCTTCCCTTGATTGTCCTTCTCATGCATTTCTCGCACCTGATCAGCTGACAACCAATGGAGATCAGCCTCTTCAAAAAAGTCTTCCAGGGTGTCCGGCTCAGGCTCCGTCGTGACCGACGGTGCGACGGAATCGCAATCAGACTCAGTCTCCGCCATGATGGCTGCGTGTTGTGGGTGTTGTTCTTACTAGCTTCGGCCGATCATGCAATGGCTCCCGTTTTCCGGTTTTCGATAGCTTCGGCCATGGCTCCTGCTTCCCTGGTAAGCCTAGGAATGTTCCTCTTGGCCAAAATCTCGAATTGACGGCCATCTTCGGTCGTTCCTATCGGCCGATCGCTCCTATCGGCCGATCGTCCTCTCTATACGGTTCGTTGTGCTGTAACAGCCTAATACACAAGTCACGAGTGTCTATTAGTTAGTTTGATAGTGCCTGGTAGACGTAGTGGGCCTTCTGGATGGTTTCCCATAGCCAGAGGGCCATCGAGAAAGCCAACTGCCTCTGAAGGGATCCATCAAACGAAAAAGGGAGTCATCATCCCTCGAAATCCGTCAGCGGGATTCATAACTCTAACCTTAGCTACAACGTGACCATGGATATGACCCGGTGCACGGTGATGTCCGGATTTACAGCTTTTTCGTTGCTATGCTATGGAATGTGGCTGTTTGTGGTTGGACTTCCAGGATTGGCTCCTCGAACTCCTCTTGTAATAAAGCACGGAGGTGCAAGAGAGCTACATGTGTACCCATCCCCACCATCACGCAGGCTTTGGGGTCACGGCACAACGTTGCACCTGACCCTTCCTGCGACTTCAGCCCAGATCTACTAATACACAAATAATGGATCTGCTACTAGCTGATCTACTAATATCTGTTTGGCACCTTCATCAAGCCTCCAGAGCTCACAATCCAAAGAAGACAACTCACACAAAACAGAACCAAAAACCACAACAAAACAAAATCTATTGTCAACATGAAGCTCTCTTCTGCCTTTGCTACGGCATTCCTTACACTTTACTGTGTGCAGGCTTTCCCCACTTCCAACTTTATGCAACCCAGACCAAGCTTTGTAACTACTCTTCAGCAAACTTCCCCCTTACGTGCATCATCCTCTGGGGACGAGTCATCATCCGTAGTAGAGGAAGGACCAAAACAAGGTTGGTTTGGACGCATTTTCCGCCGAAACAGAAAGTTGGAAAAACAAATCAAAGACAAGAGCGAGGAAATCAATGCCATAGCCAAAGCCAAGGCCGAGGAAATCAAGGCCAAAGCAACCGACCGGCTTGTTACCTTGGAAGAAAACTTGGAACAGGCAATCCAAAAAGAAACAGATGAAATCATCAACCGCATCGCCCTCGATGTGCTGACCCTCGTGGGGGGTCATTGGGACGTTTCTGTTATTACCAGCAATCAAAAGGACACCAAGGACATTATGGAGGGACGTGTCAATGATCTTGCGAATGAGCTTGTTGAGATGGGTGCGACTACCGGTGGCGAAGGAGATATCAAAGAAGCGTTGCGCAATAGTCGACTCAAGATCAAACAAACGTTTGATGGATCGGACTCACCCCTTCGGGTTCAACAGGAAGTTTTCCTTGGAGCAAGGCGTGTCATCCAAGTGTTTGGCAAACTCCAGTTTGACCTCCTAGAGCACAAGGCTCTCTACGCTTTAGATGAACTGGTTGTCCTTGGAACAGCTGTAGACTTGGACAAAATCGTTGTGGTCACAACAGCAACAGAAGCCCAGGAGGAGGAACAAGCCACAGAGGTAGTGGTGGAGCCCGAAAATGATGATGAAGCTGCAAAAGAGGAATCATGAGTGAACGAACTTTAATCCACTTTGGAAACTGAGGGAGCTGTCGGAGGTGAAGGCGGGACGCTTGTTGGAGATAAAGCAGAGTTTGATGTCGAGGAAGCTTTGGGGAATCAATGAGCAACAATAACTTCCCTACTCTGAACCCCCTTGCCTACTAAAGAGCAACAAGGTTGAAACTTTAGATCAAATACTACAGCGTAACCAGTCGAGTTACGGTAGGATAGTTTAGTGCTCGCTATTGGCTAGCCTGGCGAGAACAGAAACATAAAGCTTGTTCCTTCGTAGGTCAAGCAAGTCGCAACCTGGAAACTTGGCCTGCAACGAAGCGATCGCTGAAGAGGCACTCTCCGGGGATAAACTAGCTAGTTAGTTACTGGTAGTCATCACTACTTGGAAAGATGGGATGATGATTGTCCCAATTCTTGGGGTCGTGAAACCAGGCATGCGTCATGTTGCAGTACAAGAGAGGCCGTTCCACAGATTGGGATTGGTTGCCGAGCCCAAAATGTAGGGTTCGACAATCAAACAACACGACATCTCCCAATTCCAATTGAGGTCGCACCAAAAAGTCAAAGACTTGATTGTTGTTGTCTTCTTCTTCGTCTGCCATGTACCGTGCCGTGAATTCGATCTGATGCGATCCGTGCACAAAGGCGGTACATCCCACCAACTCGTCCTCCCCACTACATCCCATGGTAAAGGCATTAATGTAGTGCGCCGGAAGCGTCATGGTTTCAAAGAGGTGCGGGGCATCGGCATGCAATGCTTGATCGGCACTTCCGGGCAAGCTGACAATGCCCCCAATGGCCGACAATCGCATGTCTTGGTAGCTCCCGTCGGGGCCACTGCCTTCAAAGTTGTGTCGCCCAAAGTTCCCCTTGTACAGTGTCCCCTTTTGAGGGTTCATGGTGCGTTGGACAATTTCCAAAATGCTCGGGTGTCTTCGAAAAAAGGGGTTTTCTTCGTTGGTGGTTGGAGGATTGTCCTTGTTATTATTGGCTGCTTTGACCACAATGGGTTTATTGTTTCCGCCGCGTAGTTTCTGTAGCTGGGGACCATCTCTCAGATCCATGCGCAGATCTTCTCTCATGGAGAGTTCTCGATAGGACTGAGGATCCTTTTGAGAAGAATGAGGATGATAAATATCCACCCCTTCTTGCTGTAACAGCAGTTGGGAGGCTTGATGAAGATCCGTCAGCACGGCATGACCCCATTGTAGGCATTCCGTGGCATTTAAAAGAGATGGTAGAATACAATATCCATATTGTTGCATTCGTTGTACGGCTCGTTCCATGGAGAGCGAAGTAAGTTGGCTGGTGTGACACTCGTGGGCTGTTACAGGAATGGTAGCCTCGAGCGCCCTGGTCCGTTCGTGCGCCACGGAATGTTTGGACGACAGCCACCGACACGATTTCTCTTGGATGCGGCAGAGTCGTTTTTGAAGCGCCAGTATTTGTCGATTGTCGTCTGTATAGACCTTAACTGGATCACTATTGCTGCTACTGCTGCCATTGTCGAGTCCAATAATTCCATCGGCTGACGACGCCATCCACTTGGCGGGATCAGGAGCTGTTTGTTGCTCATTCTCAATGCCAGTAGTAGAGACAACCAACAACAAGATTCCACCCTTGACAAGAGATCTGTAGATTTTTTGGTGTTCCCATACTGTGGATTGGTCAAAGGTAGTGTCTCCGGATAGTACAATCAGGGCATCATGTAGTATTGGATCAACGCTACTATCAGTAAAGGGAGATGCCTTCTCAATGGAGAATTTCAGCACGGAAACAGGAGAGAATCCCCGTTCTTTCAAGGCATCTTGCCAAACCTGGACTTGAATGTCATTAGTCTCATTGTCTTGGTTGTCGGATAATACCGGTAGTTGCACCAGGCCAACCCGTCTCTGCGCCACGGAAATCTGAGAATTGGCATGGAGAAAGGTCTTGACCAGATACAAGGAGATTTCCGAGGCAGCTTTCAAATCTTGAGGGGTAGTAGAATCCGCCAGCGTGCCTGCAGCAGGATCTTCAGTATTGTCGCTCTCGTCGTCGTCATCGCTGCCAAAGGCGTCCCAACAGTCGGCCATGGTGATTTGCTACAGTGGTATGTACCGTGTGGATGTGTGGATCTTTGCAGAGGTTGTGTGGTGGGTGATGTGAGGAGGTGTGGGAAGCGAAGCTAGCTACTAGGTTGTCACAAGTCTGATAGGGTTCGTGATTTTAAGGTACGGTAAAGTCGAAAAAATTAGCCAATTGGTTCACTCGATCGTTTTGCGAGGAGGGCAAAGGTCGATCGAAGGCTCGAACACAAGGCGAAGAGCTTCGGGGTTAACGAGGCCAGGCAAGCAGGCAACAATCAACCTTCTCGGGGGAGAGCAGCAGCAGCAGATACCAAAAACAGCAGCGATCCCAATCGAAGCAATCAAGCAATCAATCGTACCGACTGAGTCTTACTCACTCACCAAGGGAAGAGTCCACACTCCTCACTCTCATTGTTGTTGCCATTGTTGTAGTTGTGGCAGTTGCTATTGCTGTTGTTGTTGCTGATATAGGAGAGAGCCAAAAGAGGACCCATTGGAGACAGTAGGTGTCGCCGCAGCCGTTGACCATTTTCTACCACCGTGGAACTCCAAGCGCTCGATCGATCGGATCACCATTATTTGATTGAGCGATCCCTGTCATCGGAAGATCCAAACATTGCTCTACACTATCGATAGTAGAGAGGAGACCTAGTTGCTAGTAGAGAAGACAAGCCCACCATGGTCCACGTTCGCAAGGCCCGTACGGCCTTTCTCTTCTTCCAGAGCGAGTTCCAAGCAAAGATCAAGAAACAGCTTGGGGGCAGCATGGGAGAAGCAATGACTGAGGTAAGCCAATCAGCTCTATGGATAGTTTCTTCTTCTGTTGTGGGTGATGAGTATGGAAGAGGTGTTTGTATGGGAAAAGAATGAATTGATCAGGAAAGAAAAGCGGAGGAATCCACTACACTTCTTGGTTCACATGCCTTGTTCTGTCTCCTTACACTTTTTTTTGGCTCTTCCATTTTCATTCATCCTTCTATCTATTGTATCACAGCTATCAGCTCGTTGGAAGAGACTCTCGGACGAAGAACGAGAAGTATATTTGGAAAAGGAACGAATTGATCGAGCACGATACGAACAAGAGGCGGCAGAAGCCGATCGGATTGCCTTGATCGAACAGGAAGAACGACGCAAACGGGTTGGACTCGACGATAATGATATTGCCGAAGGACAAAAGCGTGGAGCCCGACAACGCAACGATGACGACCGAGCCGAAAAGGATCGACGCAGAAAACAACGACAACAGAAAATTGAAGCCGAATTGGATCCAGAAGTCATTGAGGAACGAAAGCGCGCCAAAGAACAAAAGAAACGAGAGACGGAAGAACGACAACGCGTACGAGCGGAAAAGGAACAGGCAATGGCCAAACAGCATGCCAAACTAGACAAGGAACAATCCAAAAAGTCAGCCAATCGATTGGAGTACCTGCTCAATCAGTCCAGCATTTTCGGGAAACTCAAAATGGGAGGAGCCGCTGAGAAACAAAAGGAAGAAATCACAAATGCCAAACGAGATGCCAAAGACAGAAAGAAGGCGGAAGCACATCACCGTCCGGCACCCGAAGGAGAAGAGGAAGATGCACTATCCGAGGATGAAGAAGATGACAAGGAACGACACGTCTTTCTCACAAAACAGCCCAACTGTATCAAGTTTGGAAAACTCAAGCCGTATCAGGTCGAATCCTTGAATTGGATGATTCATCTAGCCGAAAAGGGTCTCAATGGGATCTTGGCGGATGAGATGGGATTGGGGAAGGTGGGTACAACAACGTCTTACATCTTGTTCTGCACTAGTACGGTATCAGCCAAAAAGTTGCTCTGTAATGCGCTCACACCTGTGTACTTTTTGATATCTTGTGTCGTATCGTCACTTTTTGATTTCAATTCGATTCGATTAGACCTTGCAATCGATCTCCATCCTTGCCTACCACTACGAGTACTTGAACATTCAAGGCCCGCACATCATCTGTGTACCCAAGTCCACTCTTTCCAATTGGATGAACGAACTCAACAGATGGTGTCCGGCGTTGCGAGCCATCAAGTTTCATGGGAGCAAGGAAGATCGAGAGTACATGATCGAAAACGACTTTTCGCAAGAAGCGGCGGCTCACGATGGGAAACGCCCACAAAAGCAAGTCATGAACGAGAAGGGAGAATTGATCGATGACAATTCGGACAATCCGCGAACCTGGGACGTTTGTGTGACCACCTACGAGATGTGTAACACCGAGCGAAAATTATTTCAACGATTTGCATGGAAGTACCTGGTAATCGACGAGGCGCACCGTTTGGTACGTCCAGTGGAAACATTGGTTGTCTGCGTGTGCTTGTATAATATATATATATATATGTGAGGCAAGTATCATTCACGAGTGCTTGTTTGTTCCATTGTCGGCAGAAAAACGATGCCAGTATGTTCAGCAAGACGGTTAGGTCATTTCGAACAGCCAATCGGTTGCTCCTAACAGGGTAAGTTGCTAGTTCGGCAGTGGCTACCAAAACTTAGGAACCCAGTCGCCTTAACCATTGCTCCTCGATTGACACAGGACGCCCTTGCAAAACAACCTTCACGAACTCTGGGCGCTTTTGAACTTTTTGCTACCAGACATCTTTTCGTCTTCGGAACAGTTCGATGAATGGTTTGACCTAGAAGTTGATGACGAGCAAGCCAAGAAGGATATGATATCGCAACTGCACAAGGTGTTGCGTCCGTTCATGCTGCGTCGGTACGTCGTGAAATCGGAATGTAACATGGCCATACCTCTCTTATCCACGTCTAACGTTGTGTCATTCGATAAACAACGTGATAAAGACTCAAGTCTGAAGTCGCCAAGGTACGTTGGAAAAGGCTGATTGGACCACGGAATGGCGGATGCCGAGATTCTCAACTGGTGGTTGCCTTGATTGTCTTTCTAGGGGCTACCACCCAAAACGGAAACAATCATTATGGTGGGAGTAAGTTTCGCCACTTTTGAATGCACTGTGAATTGCTTGCATCAGAGAGCCGCACTCATCGCTTCCCTTTGCAACTGCTGGTTTGCAGATGTCCAGGATGCAGAAGCAGCTATACAAGAAGCTGCTCCTTCGAGATATCGACTCCATTGTAGGTCAGGGCTCCGGCAAGAACAGGACTGCTATGCTCAACATCGTGATGCAATTGAGAAAGTGCTGCGTACGTAGTCGTCGTTGGGGTCCTCATTTGCTACCCTTCGAAACCTTGTAGTCTCACCCTGTTATGAAACATTCTTCTTTACTCAGGGCCACCCATACTTGTTTGAAGGTGTGGAGGATCGAACATTGGATCCACTTGGAGATCATCTAGTTGAGAACTGTGGTAAATTGAGTATGGTGGATAAGCTGCTGAAACGCCTCAAAGAACGAGGTAGCCGTGTCCTAATTTTCACCCAAATGACACGTATCCTGGACATTTTGGAGGTAAGTTGCGAGACACTCGAGAGTATCCCATGTGTGGAAGTTGAACTGTTTCTCATCGTTCTTGGCGCATACATATACGACAGGATTTCATGGTGATGCGAGGATACCAATACTGTCGCATTGACGGGAACACCACGTATGAAGTTCGAGAAGAGTCGATCGACGCGTTCAACGCTCCCAATAGTCCGATATTCTGTTTCATTCTCAGTACTAGGGCAGGAGGGCTCGGTGAGTACCCCTCCCTGATGAAGCACCTTGTTGTCCTTCGAGTTTGCACTCGATGTGGTCTGAGTTTATGGAGAACATTGTGTGTTTCGATTTCCTTTTCCTCACCCTCTCAATATACTGTTATGTGGGCATTATTTGTTGAAACAGGTATCAATCTCCAAACTGCAGATACCTGCATCCTCTATGATTCTGATTGGAACCCGCAGCAAGGCAAGTAACCGCAAATCTTTTGTACTTGTGTTGTGTGTTCCTAATTTGTTTTTCTCACCCTTTCAATATACTGTTTTGTGCACAATATTTTTTGAAACAGATTTGCAGGCGCAGGATCGGTGCCACAGGTTGGGACAGAAGAAACCGGTCAATGTAGGTGCACTGAGGGTATTTCCTTCTTTCTTCATGTGATGATCCGACTTTTAAATGTACTGACCAACAGCCTTTTTCGCATCTAACTAAAAGGTCTACCGATTGGTGTCGCAAAACACGATCGAAGAGAAGATTGTGGAACGAGCTCAACAGAAACTCAAACTGGATGCTATGGTAGTCCAGCAAGGGCGCCTCAAAGACAAGGATAATAAGATTAGCAAAGATGAGATGATGGCTGCTGTCCGTTTTGGTGCCGATACTGTCTTCCGATCAGAGGAATCCACTATCACCGACGAAGACATTGACGTAATTCTTGAAAGGGGCGCGGCAAAGACCAAGGAACTCCAACAAAAGCTATCCAAGGCAGAGAAGGGAGATCTTCTTGATTTCCGTCTAGATGGAGGAATCAGTTCACAGGAGTTTGAGGGGGTTGATTACAGCGACAAGGTATGTGTCTTGTCTCCGTCGCTGCTGGGTTGGTTTTGGTTGATCTTGATCATTCGACTGACGCGTGTGTTTCATTTCATTTTTCAACTGTTAACCCGTAGGCTCTTCGTGATCACTTGCGAATGCTGGCTGCCAACTCAATCGGCAAGCGTGAGAGAAAGCCACCGCCCACCAGCTACAACCCCATCATCCACACAAAGAAGAGCATGACTATCAACAACCAGAAAGTGAAGCTCCCCAAGAGCCTGCGCTTGCCACCCATGGAAGATCACCATTTCTTCAACCGCGAACGGCTGATCGACCTTGGGAAACTAGAGTTCGAAACCTACGCAACGCTTCGGGAGCTGGGTCAGTTGCCACCACGCGATTACGTCGACAGAGCAAGAACATTGCTCCCTCCAGAACTGGGTCAGGAAAAAGTAAGTTCAACTGTACATGAAAACTGTTTCATCTCGTTTGCTGCAATGCTCACACTTTCCCTTGTAATCTTCTATTAGATTGAGCTTCTTGACGAAGGATTTGGTAGCTGGACCAAGACTCAGTACTACCACTTCGTGAAAGCCGCTGCAAAGTACGGCCGTGACGATATTGCTGCTATTGCTGCTGACATGGACATGCAGGAAGAGGCGGTTGCAGCATATAGTGACGCCTTTTGGAAGTACGGACCTACTGAACTAAAGTCCGACTGGGAGAGAGTCGTTGCAAGTATCACCAAGGGAGAGCAAAAGATTGCCAAGCAGAAGAAGCTGACTGGTCTACTTTCAAAGTTTGTGTCCACTTTCGATGATGTACGTTTTAAAGGTCCCCGCGAATACTTTGGCAACTTCTTCGATCTAATTCGTCTCATGGCATCTTCTGCTCTTGCTCCTGCTGGCCTCTTAGGCTCGCAACGACATGACGTTTGCGAATAAGGGTACGACTCACTTCGCTCTCGAGCAAGACCGGGCCTTACTCTATGCTGTTGACAAGCATGGGTACGGTAATTGGGACTCTGTGCGCGAGGAAATCAAGACCGATCGAAGGCTAATGTTTCAGCACACTGTCCAAGGGATGACGACGGGTATGATCGTCAAACGGTGCGACTACAGAATGAGGCAGATGGAGAAGGAGCTTGAAGCCCGTGAAAAAGTGCTCAAGAATCAGAAGCCTGCGAATGTGATTGCGGCTCAGAGAGCGATCGAAGCAATCAAGGAGGCCGATGGGTTTGATGATAGGGCGCTCGCTATCGAGCTTCGTGGTGAGAACTTTGCATCCCTATCGCCACTCTCCAAAGATGCAAGGCAGGTTGAAGAGGAACGCCTCAAAGACCGCAAAGTGGCGGTTGACCGCTTGAGAGACATTGAAGTGCAACTGCAGAGATGCAAAATGGTGGCAGAGGAGACGAAAGAAGCTATTCACCGTGGCGACCAGTACGTGAACTATAGCAACATTTCGCTCTCGGTGAAAGGAAAGAACGTCGCCGCGGAGAAGGCAGGAGTTTGTTCCGATCTAGAGGAACGGATCAACCAGGCCGTCCTACGTGTTCCGGAGTGCGGTGTCTGCGTTTATTGTACCGAGAAAACGTCTCGTCGTAAGCTTTGCCGAGACCGGCTGGATGTGCGCGAGGAACTGATCGCAGCAGCATTGAAAAAGGAGGGATTGACGGACCCCAACAACAATAAGGCAAAGCCAGCAGCTGTCAATCCTAAAAAGCGCAAGGCCGAACCGGCGCAACCCACAAAGAAAGCACCCCCGAAGGCAGCTCCAAAGAATCCAGGCCCGAAGAAACCCCTGATGATAAAGCAAGCCAATGGGAAGCTCAAGCAGAGGGTCACTTCCAATGGCAACAAGCGCATGGCAATCCCTGACGAAGTTTTTCCGGAGTTCTGTCGGCGAATTGGCGCGGCCGGCACTGGTGAAAGGAACACTCTCATCAATCAGTTTGTCGAGGACAACCCGACTATTTCGCTTCGGCAAGTCTCCATCAAGATGAGCGAAATCACTACTAAGGATCGCCCTGCTTGGATCCCACCTCCAGAGAAGAAAGGTGGGCGTGCTTTCATGTTCTACCTTCGCCCTCGTCACTACAAGCACCTGCCACCCAACGAACGCCCTGAAGGGTGGGAGGTCTATGCAGCAGAAGACGAACGCAAGTTTCAAGAAGAGCAGGTCAAAAAGAAGGATGACAAAAAGGACATCGAGGAGGGGCCGCCCAAGAAGAAGATGAAAACGGAGTAAGTCCGCTACCGGTATGACTGGCCGTGCTGGGGTAAAGAAGCTCTGATGGATCCACGAATGATTGAATCGAATTCGACCAGCTGATAATCCACGATATAGCTAGCTAGCCCTATTAGTCAACTCTATGCTTTTGCTTTTTAGTGTCCGGTACCCGTAGTCTAGTTGCTCCTGTCCTGCGAGCTCGAACGTACTGTATCTGTTCTGTTTGATGCATTGATAGACACCGGTTGGGATCCTCCGAGACAGCTGCCGGAAACCCGTCCGACACAATTGAGAAATGTTGAATGGAGAGATGCTAGTAATTTCATCGTGCAATTTTTGATTCTGTCATTTGATTCTGTCACCCAACATGAAATGGTCCAATGCTGTTTGTTTGTTGTTGTCTTGAAACGCCCACACCTTCGGTGCTGCACATGCCCACGATCTCTCAAGCTGGCTTTGATGGTCTACCTTTCTTGGCTTCCCAGATGCATCCTGCATTAGTCAAATCTCTGATTCGATCATTTGATAGAGTGCCTCTTTTCCTCTCATACCGTTTGTTTTTCGCCCAGAAGGCCAATTCTTTATCTCCCTCATAGCGCTGGGGGATCCACCCATGTCCTTCTTGTTCTACAAAGTCAACAACCCGTCTCAGCATCTTGTTGAACCTAACATCAAGCAGCTCTGTGGAAACTGGATTGCCTGGCTTTGAATGTTGCTGTCGTTTGAATTCAAAGTCAATCGAACGCAGTAATTCAATCTGCTTTTCAGAAAGCTTGCTTGTGCGGAATTCGGTTCGATTCTTTTCAACCCATCGACCAAGCTTATCATGTCGAGAGGGAGCGCCACGTCTTCGTGGAGATGGGACATTGCAATGGCCGTGTTGCCGCTTGTACTCTGTCAACCGTCCGAACAATAGTCTCCCATGGTTCTCTCGTGTTGCTCATCTTGCGCTCCATACAGACTCCTTCTTCCCTCTGGAGCCCCTTCGACACGATAATCACTTCCACAGTCCGTCCTCCTTCTCTTCCCTTACGAGGCGAACACAGTGATTTGCCTCAACAGCGGACTTGCCATTTAGCAAACCAGCTACACTTCGTCGAGCTTTTGTGAAGGCCAATGCGCTCGAAAACGTGATGTGCAGCCAACTATTAATATATGCTTGAATCCAGACTAGCTTAACCCTCTGCCTTCTCCTCTCAAGTGGGTTGGTTGCATTAAATAGTAATAATAGTATGGTTGCAGTTGATACAGGACTCAATTCGTGACTTGAGTATCTTTGGATCTTTTAGACTTTTCCTGGATGACTGATGCTTGAGATAAATTGAGGCTCCTTCGCTCACATTTTTGCCGCATCTCACTCCTCCTTGCAAGTTTTGAAGGAATAGAAAAAGACACCTTTTCGCTGCAGTATATGTGTAGTACTATCCACACGAGCACTGAACGTTCTGAGAGAGATCTTTTTCCAATTTTGCCAGGTGCAGTTCAACACGACGGTGGTGGGGCGTGTAGATTGATGAGGAATCCTGGTGAGTCTGAGCGGCCAGGTATCAACAGCGGCAGCCCGAAACATCGACGGCGATACAACCATCTGGCCAGCAGCACAGCGAAGAAAGAGGTCAAGGAAGTCAATCAGCCACCACAATAAAAATGGTGATTAAGAGGAACCCCGATGCTCTCGAAGACATCGAGATGCCAGACTCTTCCGTTTCATCCGAAGAAGAGTCGGCCAGTTCTATTTCCAACGCCGAGGAATCCAGCATACGCAGTAGCAGCACGAGCACCCATCTCGATCAAAGCAGCATTCGCAGCGGTAGTAGTGTCAATCTTGATCACAGCAGCCTACAAAGTGGCACTGCATCACTGCTCGACGTTGGAGCCTTCACCGCTACCTCTGTCACCCAGCACTACTCGACACAAGTAGGGTCAGCGCCTCAGAATGCTGCTCCTGGTACGAAAGAAGCAGATGACATGTTCAACTTGGCACGGCACTATCAAAGTGCAACAGGTCCCGCTAATAGAAATACAAAGACGACAGCTTTCACCGCTCAGGGCTTCTTTGCCCCGAGCGAGACGTTCGATGTGGACCAATCGGTGAATTTCATGGATCACAATCGGGCAAACTACACGCCGCCTCCACCAAGACTTTCAACTGCTCGAAGTCGTTTTCAACGAAATCGTGGGTCCACAGTCCGAGGATCGTCGTTTGCGTCGTTTGTGTCTGTCTTTTTGTCGGGCCGTACCGGAGTGGGAAGTGCCGGATCGGGAGATACCGGAACGGGAGTTGAACGAAGTGAAGAGGAAGAAGACAAACCCAGCATTTGGCCCCGGCTAGGTGCGTGGTTCGTCATTCTTCTGAGCTTTGGGTTGGCTGCAGCCTTCTTGGCGTTGTCAGTACCCCACTTGTCGAAAAGATCTTTTTCGAATGGGCCGAGTGACGAGGAGGAAGCGAGGAAGCGCCACCAAGCTATCCATGGGGCAGTGTTGGCCAGTGGGCTAACGCACCCCAGGGATTTGGATAACTACAACGCCAGCCAGTTCTATGCACTTCAGTGGTTGACTGAAACAGATCCAGCCAAGTTGGAAGCAGACGATCCTGGGCTGCCCAAACGCTATGCCTTAGCAACCTTCTATTACTCCAATCACCCCGAGATTGCCTCGGATCACAGCAAAGGAACGCTCAGACGGTTGTCTTCTGGTTGGGAGCACCAAGCTAATTGGATGACGCGATCAGATATATGCCACTGGTACGGGATTATCTGCGAAACTGTCAATCAACACAACAAGGATGTGGTCCATTGGAATATGACAGCCAACAATCTCAAAGGATCAATCCCGTCGGAAATCGTCGCCCTTTCGAACCTAGTTTCACTGGACTTGTCCTCCAACAGCCTGTCCGGGACACTTCCTACCGTGATTTATGCCATGCCTTTTCTCAAGGATCTGATGCTGAGCGACAACGCACTGAATGGAACAATCTCTGACGAGATTGGCTTCTTTTATCCAGCCGAAACAATTGACTTGTCTAAAAACGAACTGCAAGGGAGCTTGCCTGCATCAATCAACAGGGGGGCTGTCAACTTGAGACTTCTCAATGTGGCAGACAATGATTTAAAAGGAACCCTCCCTGACATCACGAGACTGACAAAGCTTTGTGAGTTAGCAATGCCCTGTTCCGTGAGAAGCTTCCGTTGGCGCTCATGTCCATTCACTTTATTCCTTCCTCTCGCAGCTCACCTCTTATTGAATGAAAACAAGTTTGAAGGGCAGTTTCCCGTCTCTCTGACCAGCATATCTAGCATTGGTAAATTCCAGAACGTCATGCAATCATGGCTGTGGAGTCCCGTGCCGTCACCAATCGTCTCCAGTTGCTAACAGTTTTCCACCAATGCTTCTTGCAGTTCAAATCAACATGGAGAACAACATGCTGACTGGATCTCTCCCGCCTGAGATCAAAGAGTTGTCAAATCTTGGTACGTGTCCTTTTCGTCTTGACATCAAGTATCTCTTCCTCGGTCAATCCTCAACTGAAGCCACTTCCTCGTCCCAGAAATCTTGGCATTGGGCCACAACAGTTTCAATGGGGCAATCCCTGACGTTCTCGGGGAACTTCACAACCTTAGTAAGTAATTGACCGCATCAGAAGCCAATTTAAAAGTGTGTGCAGCTCCAGTACTCACCCACCGCCCCTCACTCATGCTACTCCAAACAGCCGAGATCCGACTGCAGAAGAATTTGCTCGAACACAAGCTTCCGGTGTCTCTTGGCAAGCTCTCAAAGCTCAGTAAGTGAATGCATCAATCGCCCCGATTCGAGTGCAACCATTTGAAGATGAACTAATCAATTCCATTCTGGAATCACCCGTAGAAACGCTGATGCTAGATTCCAACAAGCTCATTGGATCTATACCAGACAAGTGGATGGACATGGTCGAGCTAGAGGCCCTCATTCTGGTATGTTTCTCTGCCATCCACGGCCGCCATATCTTTTGTCGCGGCTCTAACCAAACATCAAATGCCTTGCTCTTCTCACACAAGCACAAGAACGCTTTGACAGGCTCCATTGCATCAGACATGGGGAGGCTTGTCCACCTGCAAGATCTCTGGCTGAATAAGAATCACATCACCGGAACGTTGCCAAGCCAACTAGGTTTGCTAACTGACCTCGTCACTTTGTATCTTGAGCACAACGATAAGTTGGAAGGGCCCGTTCCTACAGAGCTTGGCAATCTCAATGCACTAGGTAAGATTTATTCGACTCCCGTTGTCCTTGGCGTTGTGGTCATATTCTGTCAATCTCACCTCACTGACTTTCGCGAATACACTCTTTCATACAGAGGCACTTCGAATGGCCAAAACAGCGCTGACCGGTGTCGTCCCAGAAGAAGTGTGCAGGTTGAAAATGAAATTCGAGCTAGTATTTGTCTCGGCAAGCTGTAACAGTCTGCGGTGTATCTGCTGCGACAAATGCTCATGACCAGACGACATCCAGATGCCTTCAGGCTGGGGACGATCACCAAAGCTTTCCTTTTCTTGGGTGACGTAAATCAACTCTGTACGAATATGTTATAACTCTTTCGATAACTGCATGAATCTTTTGCTAGAATTGTGTGACAACGTCTCACATCGATGCGCACACTGCCGATGCGTAAGCTATTTATTGGTGGTCTGCTTGAGGGTCACAGTTGTCGCAGCAGCTGCATTGCACCTTTCGGCAGTTCGCTGTAACGAATGTAAGCGGGCCATCGAGCTTCATCATACAAACTTCAGGCGGTATGGACCCCGTGAGATCCGTTGCAGTGAGTTCAAGGGTTTCTTTGTCATAAGCAGGCGAGTGGTAGGAAGGTTAGAAAGGCCAGAACAAACTTGAGTGATCAGGCATTTATGCAAACGTACTCAGCAATGTCAATGCGACGAGCTCTGAAGGAATGGATCCTCTGAATGAGTTGGCTGACAGAGTCAAATTCTGCAGCAAGGTCAGCTTCCCCAGGTGCTCTGAAAGTGTTCCCTTCAGGACGTTGTGATCCAGCCGAAGGCTCTTCATCGACGTAAGCAGGCGAAACATTCTAGCTGGTATGGTGCCCGTCAGGCGGTTGTGTGTCTGAATTAGGAATAAAAGAAGTAACACTTTAGCGAGTTTTGACCGGGAGTATTGAAAAGCAAGCCCCGTATTGACAAGCATACCATCTCAAGACGTTCGAGGTTCGTCATGCCCGTCCATTCGACGGGTATTTGCCCTTCAAGTCCATTATTAGAAAGATCCAGTGTTCCTGCAGAAGAGTTGATCCTCTCGTGAGCAAGACGATACATTGAGCTATTTACCATCCAAATCACTTCTCCTCCTTCTACTCACCAAGTCTTCCCAACAATCCCATACTCGTGGGTAGATTGCCTTGCAGTTGATTTCCCTGCAAGTTTAGGCTTTCTGTTTTTACGTCACGTCGGAAGGTTAGAACGTGGATGATATGGAGATTTTGAACTCGTAGTTGGAGCAATGGAAACTTACTCAGGTGCTGAAGCCTCGAGAAGACTTCTGATAGTCGCCCTGTGATTTGGTTGTTACTCAAATCCAGATATTGCAAGCTTTTTAAGCTGTCGATCTCAGGTGGGAACGTCCCCTGAAAGGAGTTGCTCTGTAATCCAAGATCAGCTGTCATGAAGCCAGAGGAGAGACGGAATTTGAAGATCTATGATGAGAGCAAAAGCAATGGTAACCTGGACGCCAGCATTTTCCCCTTACCGAGCTTCCTCAGCATGTAGATGTGGTACGGTAAGGCACCTGTGAACTGGTTGCTTCCCAACCGCAAGACGCCTGGGATGCAAACGTTAGAAGAGTGGAACGTCTTCAGTTGGACGAAACAATGACCGCAGCAGCAACGAGCACACATGCAGGTGCGTCTGGATCGGACTTACTCAATTCAGTCGAGTTGACAAGGGAAGGTATGGCCCCAGTCAAGCGATTCCCTTCCAAACGTAGAATCTTCAACTGCAAAAGTTTGGCAAGTTCAGTTGGAAGGTCGAATCGCAACGAGTTGTGGGACAGATCAATTTCCTGCAGCTTGGACATCAATCCCACATCAGAGGGGATCGATCCCGAGATTTTGTTTTGGTTGGCTTTCAGAGACTGCAGTTGAGGCAGATGCTTCCACAGCAGCACAGGTATGATACCTGTAAGATGGTTCTCGGAAATGTCCAGCGCCACAAGTTTCGATAGCGCCTGAAGCTCCACAGGAATGGTGCCCTTTAGGTTGTTGGAAGGCAAGACGACCTTTTGGACGATTCCATATCCAGCAGAATCACATGTAATCCCATACCACTCACAGACACTGGTAGAAGACATCCATCCATCATCCTGAATCCAACTGCTTGGAGTACCGTCAGTGGCGAGTAACTTCAAAGCTTTCCTTCTGGATCCTTTATGACTTTCCCTATCCTCTCTCGACATATGCACTGACACAACGCGCGGCATCATCACCACTGACGGATCATCAGGATTGACTTCAGCACCATCCCGCTCGTCAAATGCTGCTGCTTCCTCTTGCTCCAACTGAGGTGGCGGTGTGACGGGATGACCCGTCAGGTGGACTTCTTGCGTCATTTGAACAGTTCCCTCGTTGTTGGCAGCAGCGGGAGCCCCTGCTGCCCCGTCCTGGTCTCCGTGAGGTTGCATATGCTGAACTTGCTCTTTCGGCGCACCTGCACTGTGTGACTTGGCGTCCACACCGGGATGTGCGGCGTAGTAGAATATGGCCAAGGCATATCTCTGCAAGAGTTCTGTGTTGTCGTGATGGTTGACTCGGGGCTCTACCTGCACTGGATCTATATCACTTATCCATTGCCATGCATAGAACGCATCAGATGTGTGATCGTCCAAGGCTCGTTCTGTGGAGATTGCATTCTGCAAAATGACAGTCTTGATATTGTCCTTTCGGCTCATTCCATTGAACGGTGTGGGGGCCTCTGTCATTGGCGCAGATGCCGCAGCTCGCGCTTCTGCTGCTTTTCGAATGTCATCCTGCTTGAGTAGGTAGGGTATGAGAAAGGTGACTACAAACATGGTTCCAAAAAAGACGAGCCATATGGTAAGACGTCCCACAATGCTCGTGTCCCAAGTCTTTCTTCTGTACTTGTCGGCCTTGGGGGTCTTGTTCCATCCACTACTGGCTTTCTGGTCGTCTCCATCGCCCATGAGTGCTTCCATAAAGGTCGATTCTTCTCCCACAGGTTTGTTGGAAGATGCTCTTGGTGTTTGATCGCTGTCGTCGTTTTCGTACTTGGCAGCATTGACGTCCATGAGATTCACAGTCTGATCGACATTGTGGAAGGAGTCACGTGCCTTAAAGATATTTTCGGCTCCAGTGTTATCTGATTGAGCAGGAACCTTTTCATCCTTCCCGTCAACACCATTATCTTCGTCTGGTTCCAAGTCCTTGTCCTCATCGTCTTCATCGTCGTCATTTTGCTCTGGCTGCTGTTGGCGCTCTTGTTCCTGTCGCTGTTGCTCGTCTTCAACTTCTGCCGAATATCTCGAGCTGAGTGCCGTGGAATCGAAATTAGCACTGGCCGTAGAGAGTTCCCCAAGCTCTGACACTGAAGTCACACCGCTAGCAGTTTCGTGGTCCTTGCTTTCCTCCATGGTCGACCTATTCGATGTGGAACAGGACTTTCAAAAGCAACTTGCAACCAAGGCAAAAAGTGACTGCAGGATACACCAGATGCTTGCGACGGTGAGAAGATATGTGTGTCCCTTAAATCTTTCTAGCAGCACAGCTGTTTCTAAATCTTTCCACAGCAGAGCTGCGAAGGAACTCATTTCATGCGCCAAAGATCCATGTTGAGGTTTGTGCCTACTAGCTAGTACCGGTACAATGTCATGTAGTACCATACCACCATACTGGCCCTTTGCTATAGCTTGCACAACACAGCCTACCACTAGCAATCTACATTCCCGTCTAATAAACCGTTGTGCATTTATCTCTGTGTACAAACTGGAAGCAACTCGGAAGACGCAACTATGGGAGTCCAGTCCAATCCATCTCCAACCAACACAGCTGAAGTCAACTGCATTGTCACATGGTTTGGCTAAGATCCTTTTTGCATGATGGCATCCACCACGGCGTCGGCAATCTTGGTTTGAGATTCTTAATTATTGGGGAACCACTCCTCAAACGCCTCTCAGAAGTGACCCATCTCCACTGCCTTCCAAAGTGTTTGCATGACTTTGTTGGGGACAGGAACCTTGGGGGCGACAGTTTCATAGTAACCCCCCTTGGTCTGGTTTACTGCGGCTGGCTTCCACGGGTTGTGTTCCACGGGAACAAATCCTTGCAGATTCCCATCCAGAGCCTGTTGTGTGACTGCCTCGACGACATCAGCACACATACCAATCCATTCCAATTTGACATCCGCTTGTACTTGTCGCACCATGCCACCCACTTCATCAAAGGCAGGGTGCAGAGAGACATTCAGCAATCGATTTGTGTCTTCGTATCTCACCAAACCTTCAAAGGCAAATGCAGTGTTTCGGTCAGTACACCATTCAAAGTGGTACGGAATGAAATCTTTACGTGCTTTCAGCTGGGGGTGAAAGTTGAGGAATGGAGGTAAGTTCCATCCTTGTTGTGTACAGTGACACTTTTCTCGCTCTAGCTAACTACTAGTGCGACACAGTCAGTCTTGGGCGTTCTTTTGGAGCTGCCCACATCCAGTGAAAATGAACAGGGGCTAGCTAATAGTTGGTGTCATTGACCAGCCAGAGGAGGAGACTTTCACTATGAACGACGTGTCTACCGGTATGTTCTTGTTTGGAATGCTGTTGGGAGTGGATTGTTTCTGTGCAGGCTTTGCTGGTTGCAATTGGGCTACTGGTGCTGTGGGAAGCCTATGCATTTTCAGGGCAAGCGCTGCCTTAGTCTTCTTTTTGTCTGCTTGAATGAAAGATTCCAAGAGCAACTGGCCTGCCAAGAGTGTGGGGAATGGTTGAGCAGTAGTTGATCAAAAGAATTGTGTGAATTTGTCTGAACCCTTGGTACAATCTCCAGTTTCAGGTACATCGCCCAGCCAGGCTCAAAGACGCGACGCGTCCCACTGTGTTTACTTTGGGTTTACAGGCAAGCAAGAACCAGTCCTGCATTTTGTGGTAGCCCCCCAGTTGCAAGTTCTACGGCCAAACTCTCGCTCGCTTTCGAATTTCCTTAGAACGATCCTTAACATGTTTCCTTTCTTGCCAATGATGAGCTCGAAACCACCGGAGGGAGGTGAGCGTGTCACGCGATTTACTCTATGCTTTGGCTCCCATTTTGCTTCAGCATCCGCATTCCTTGGATACATCGTGCGCACATACGGTGGCTGGCACCGGTACTCACGCCTCAGGAGGTCCTATTGACGTGGCGTTAAGGTTATCAAAAAGCCTGTGTGCCACTTCTTTCTAAACAACCTGTCGTCTATCTCGGGTCGGTCGACCGCGGGGAAGGCGGAGAAGAGGCCTCCTTTGCAATTGGCTAGTAGCAAAGATATCGGCGCATTTAGTTCATGTTCGATCGTGGAAACAAGGAGTGGTCGACTGCTGTGCGTCTCGTCCACATCAGTCGGTGGTGTCGTTTGGCCTCATGCTTGGAAGAAGAGGGAGAAAGCGCAGGTCACTAAACAAACCAGGACGTGGAGTGGTCGGCTATTGTGCATCTCGTCCACACAGTTAGTTGTTGATCGTGTCGTTTGGCCTCATGCTTGGAAGTTGGAAACAGAGGGAGAAAGCGGAGGGAAGAGAGACCTGTTCCTGCCGGTTCGAATGGTCCTTTGTTGGTACCAGTGTCGCGGCCATTGGTTGTAGACTGGAAAGAGGGCTTCGTTCAGTTTGTCGTTAGGTGGTTTCTACGTTTCTACGTTTCAAAGCAGCTTACAGTAGCTCTTACAGTAAAGATTTTTAAGATTGGTCTGAAGGGAAGATGAGATCATCCTGGAACCACGGTCTTGGCGGTCCTGGAGCTGCCCTGGTCAGAACGGGGCACTTATGTTAAGTAAAAAGGGGCATTCTTGACTAATGTACACGTTCTGACTAGGTGGATTAAGAAGAACAATTGATATCCTAAATTGAAGCACAATGATCAAGCCTATCTTTCTACTTATTAGACAGAGGAAGATACTGAGCGAGTGTAGTTCTTTGGTTGCGGTTCTGGCCAGGGTCACAGTGCCGAGGGTTAGTGGTATCTCCTCTGCAGGATAAGGTGGTAGGTACATGTACCCCCCGTGGCCATATACTCCATAGCTGCGATGTATGGATCTTGTTGCTTGCACTACGTAGACTTGTAAATGTAGAACATGTACTGGAAAGGGGAGGGGTAGCTTCCATACTGGTATTCTCATAGCTTGTTCGAACATCCACTGTATAACCTTACCTATCGACACCCTTGAGAAGCTCTTGGCCTCTGGGTCATCTCCATTTCAAGTTGTTTGTTGGTTGCATTATCCTGATGGAAATTTAAGCTAATCCTGATCTAAGATTCAATTCCAAGGTAAGCTCCCACTGGATTATATAGGCTCTGCAGGATTTATGGGGGGTATCCCACCTTTGGTTACAGGCAAAATGCTGCTTGCACTCCATAGGAGAGGGGGGTACCCTCCCATGAGAATGTTGCCCTGCTGCGATCTAGGGGGGCTCTAGATTATCTACGTAAAATCCCACCGATCCTCAGTGCCGTCACTGATCTGAATGGGTTTCAAGTCATTCTAGGTTGCTGGAAGGAAGGATTAGTCGGTTTAATCGTTACTGTGTTTTCGATCAGTCTGTTTTGTGAGAATTTGGAGCATGCTGAGTTGTTCCGCAGGAGAAGATCCAGTTAAGTTTTAATCGCAATCTATGGGGTACTGTCTAACTGGGACGGTATTGCAGCACATGCGCAATAAACAGAAGTCATTAGCCTACGCGTCAATTTCTACAGTGGCAAATTCAGGCAAATGTCTTTCTCTCCGAAAAGTGATGTATGCCCTTTTTAGAAAACCAGTCAAGCGGTGCTGGTAAAGAGCAAAGAGCATGGTGGAGCCAGCTAGCCAGTGATGGTCTGTGGTCTTGGAACAGGAAGTCTTCTGATCACAATCTGAACAACTTCTTCCACAACTCATTATTTTTACCAACCGAAGCTAATACAAATAGCTACCCAATCTTCCATTATTTCACATCTCAACAGAATTTAAAGAACCATGACTTGCCCACAACATTCCGCCTTCGATAGCACTATTATCAACATGGAGACTGAACCAATCACCATGGTTAAAGAGACTCCAACCCTGCTAGAATCCCTTGCTCGTCTCAATAACTTGGGAATGCGTTCTTTGGAATCCGGGGATCTTTCGTCTGCCGGTCAAGTACTAGCACAGGCCCTTGAAAAGTCCAATAGCGTCATGTTCCTTTCAGATTTGCATGTGCGATCTGTTGCCCAATCTACTCTTGCCAAATGCAGCAATGATACCAAGAGAGCATCGTACTTATACCAAAGAGACGACTACGATGAGGGCATGGCCACTTTCACAGAACCTATGGCAATCTTTCCAGAACTCTCTTCCGTACCCACTGGAATGGCAACAGTCCTGTTCAACTTGGGTCAACTGTGCTTGCGCCTGGGCGACGAACAAGAAGCCTATGTCTCCTTTCTCCGTGCCCTCATGATCGCCAGTGACAGCAGCATCACCGGTGGAAAGAACAGCGGTGACAACGCCCACTTCCTGGTGGCTCTCCTCCACAATATCGGACACATCCAATACCGCAACGCCAAATACGAAGATGCCATTCAAACCTACACACGCGCCTTGGCAGTAGGACGACAAGCGTTCGCTCGAAGCACGCATCACATGCTGGCCGTTTCATCTACATTGAACTGCCTGGGAGTCATTCACTTCCATCTTCCCAAGGTTGACACACAACGTGCTCTAGCCCTGTACCACGAAGCTCTTTCCGTGCGTCGCTCTGTTCTAGGACAGGATGCCGAGACTGTCGAGATCTCCACCATTCTGAACAACATTGGAAGGGTCTACTACATGAAGCTAGAGTATGATTCTGCTCTCAAGCTGTACTCGGAGTCGTTGACCATGCGCCGCAACCTTTTGGGTGACAACCACCTGGATGTTGCTGCCACGGTCTACAATGCCGGGCAAACTCTTCACCAACGAGGGGATCTGGATCAAGCAATGGAGCTCTACAGGGAGTTCTTGAGGATTGCAAAGAACAAGCTTGGGCGCGAACACAGGGATGTTGCGATCATGCTCAAGTGCATGGCCCAGATCCACCACGAAAAGAAGGAGTATGAGCAAGCTAGTGCTTTGTACGAAGAGGCCATCAAGGTTGCCAAAGCCGCCCTTGGCGCTCAACACCCAGAGATTGCTACCGTCCTCAACAAGCTGGGTAACCTCAAGTATGAATCAAACGACCTCGACGGTGCCTTGAAGGTCTACGAAGAGGGTCTGCAAGTCGAACGGGCAGTCCTTGATGCAGCTCACCCCAACATTGTGGTTACCTTGACCAATATCTCGCAGATCCACAAGCTGAAGGGTGACTTCCATTCTGCTTTGAAGGCCTACCAGCAAGCCATTGCCATCCAAAGACGAAGCCTCTCTCAGGATCATCCAAACATTGCGGCCAGCCTATCTTCCATTGCCCTTCTTCATTACCAAACCCACAACTACACAAAGGCTCTGGAAGTGTACCAGGAAGTTCTTCGAATTCGCCGTGACGCCTATGGTGATGACAACCTTGAAGTCGCGGCAACCCTCAACTCGCTCGGATTGGTGCTCTTCAAGCTTCAGCTCAGGGATCTTTCTCTGCAGAGCTTTCACGAGAGCTTGCGAATTCGCCACAAGATGCTTGGAAAGGATCACCACGACTGCGCCGTCATTCTGTACAACATTGCCACCATTCATTTGGAGTTCAATGATGATGAGGAAGCCTTGCCATACTATCGAGAAACGCTTCGCGTGGAGAAGCTCTGTCTCGGCCCCAACCACTCGGACGTGGTGTTGACCATGCAGCAACTGGCTCAGGTACACCAGCAACGAGGCGAATTGGAGCAAGCTTTGAAATACTTCCAGCAAGCGCTCGAGGTGCAAATGGAAGCGGAACAGACCAATCACGTCAACATTGCCAAGGGTTACAACTTCATTGGTAACGTTTACTTGCAATGGGGAAAGACCAGCGAGTTGATGGAAACTTTGGCCCACGCCTCTCGACACCTGAGGGCCGCCGGAAAGACTGAAGACGACCTCAGTCTTTCTGGATACAACTTTTACGGGCTCAGTAAGCTGCATCCTGAATGCGCACCATTGGCATAAGCAAAGAATAACTTTAGCACTTTTTTTAGCATTCCATTATGACGCCTTCACTCCAATAGCTAGTGTCCAACCACCCATGCTAGCTACTGCAGCACGTGAGCAACATTTGGCCCCAGATTTACCAGCCGCCTGGCTTGGAAGAACCTCACACCCAGCTGAGCGGGCCGATCCTAATCTTGTGTGGCTGGCGAAGTGCCTAATACGTTAATTTGATAAGATCTCTAAAATGAAGCGCCTGGGTGAGTGAATGTTTGGTCTGGTCTTGTGTGTAAAGCTAGCGAAGTGCCTAATACGTTAATTTGATATTGTCTCTAAAATGAAGCGTCTGGGTAAGTGAATGTGTGATTGTTTGGTCTAACCGGGAGGGAAATCCTCAGGGAGGGGAGGCGCAAGTGCTCTGGTGGCAGCCAGGAAGCAAAGGAGGAAGGAAGGGAAGGAAGGAAGGAAGGAAGGACCGCCACGGTGGTTGCTTTTGGAGGTTTTGTTCCTCTCTTGATGCCCTAGAAAGCCGCCACGGCCGCCTGAAGAGAGGCGACACCAGCGGTGTTCTTTGGTGGTTGGATGTTCCGCCGGATCAACGCAAGCTTGCTTTCAATTTTTTTCACACGCTGTGCTTGCTTTGTGCGGGGGGCAAGGACAATTCTCCCGTTGGTTTCTTGTGGCTTTGGTTGGGCCGTTTCGGGGGCCGGTTGTGCGGCGATCAGCCGTTGTCGCTCAAAAATTTCTTGCTCGATCATGACTTGCTCATGAAGACGAGCCTCTTCTTCGGCAAAGATGGTCGCTTGGTTCGAGCGAAGAAAGCGTTGTCGTTTCTGGGCGACGGCTCGCTGGGTATCTTCGCGGATTTGCTCTAGTTTGGTGCCTGCGGTGTGGGCGACCACTCGGACCCCGAGAAAGAGGTTCTCCAGGGGAGAGAGGCTGATGATGGTGGCTTGGCACATTGTCGCTGTGTGTACTTGTTTGTTTTGGTTCTTGTGGGATTTTGTGAGACGCTGATCGAAGAACCCAAAGATGCAGTCTGTCGTGAAACGACTGGCACCTTGGACGTTTCGATGAGCCAAGACTTGAACAACTGACTTACTAGCTAGTAGTTCGCTTTACTGGTACTGCTAAGGGCACAGTAAATCCAATCGAGACCCATCCTGTGCCATCAGCCGCATGATGGTCTTCTTGCGATTTCAGTCGCAGTCAGCCGTTCTTGCTTGCAATGATAGCCTGCAGGAAGATACCACTGCCAAAGCTTCCTGGGTTAGCCAGTTACCGGTGAAAGTCTTGCATGGTGTGCGATGATGGGCTTCTGAAGATACGGCTGCACTAGCTAGCTAGCTGGGCGTTCTATTACTAGCTAGCTAGCTAGAATGATTAAATCTGGTTCAAACGCAAAGGACTCACGATGGATCTTAAAAAATGCAATGCATTGCAATATCCTCGTCTTTTGGATCCTCCAACGTCAACACCGAGAGATCCAAAGATAACTCCTCGTCAGCGTCATCTCCTGTCAAAATAGTTGTGGGAAGTCCTTCTTCTGGCGCCTTCTTGTTGGCCTGCTTTGGTTCGGCCTTTTTCTTTGCTGCAGCTCCAGCTTTGCGTACTTTAGCTGGCACAATACCCAAAGCTAAGATCCTCTCCAGATACTTGATGAATCTACTCGACACTATCCCAGGAAAAAGGAAACAAAGATCTGATGTTTGGACCACATCAAACCCAAGCGCACGTGTACCATGGAGATGCGATGGATAATAAAATGCAATGTGTGTTGTAGAATGCAATGCGTGCTGTAGCCTACAGAGGTTTTATCGTCTATGCTGCTGGACTTGCCTCTGGGTGGACTCTGCTGAAGCCATAAAGGTGAAAGCCACTGAGGGATAGCTCATCCATACTGCCACCAGCCAGACGCATCCTTCGTGAAGCCTCTGTCATGAGCCTGACCACCTTTCCGGGATGTCCATTTTGCAAATGAATGTTTGCCATTCGGTTCAATGTACGAGCAATGCTTTCGTGGTCATCCGGTCGGCTGCGTTTCTGTGATCTGAGAATGTCCTCGTAGCAAGACAGTGCCGCCTGCAAATCTCCCTTGTTCTGGTTGACTTGGGCGATGTAGGTAATAGTTAGCAGGACGTCCTCGTGGTCATCCCCAAGGGCCAACCGTTCCACGCGGAGGGTTTCCCGGTAGCAATTCATGGCTTCATTGTCGTTTCCTTGTTCCAGAAAGATTGTAGCAATGTTGTAGATGATAATGGCCACATCCCTGTATTATAAAACGAGAAAATGCCAAGAATAAGATACATATCCATCTCTTCTCAGAGCATGCCCCCGACGAATGCTGCAAAGCCACTTACCGGTGGGTATCACCCAACAACTCTCTTCGCAACCTGAGACTCTCCAGGAAGCTTTGCATAGCCATATCATGGAGGCCCAGCTTGAACAGCACAAGACCTAGGCTATTCAGACCTGAGAAAGCACAAGAAGGCACGCGAAGATTTGAGCCATCCAGTTCAAATAGCGAGCTAGCACTTTTTGATTCTCGACAATCCAAACTTACAACTTGCAACCTCAAGATTGTTTTCTCCAAAGGCATCCCTGCGTATCCGCAGAGCCTCTTGATATAGATCGAGGGCTTTGGTGTAGTTTCTTGTCTGGTAGTTGATGAGGCCGATATTGGAGATTGTTACGGCGACTGCAGGATGCGAATTGCCAAGAGATTTGAGCTGAATGTCGAGTGCTTCTTCGTAGACGCTCAAAGCCGAAGCGTATTCTCCCCGTTGCTTTCGAATCTGTGGAAACGATTGACAATATTCGTGAGTTAGACCAGCTCCGTAAGCGAGTAGCTAGATAGCAAGTTGCCACATGACGCAATGATGGCTTACCTGTCCAAGGTTGGAGAGGGTCACGACAATGTTGGGATGCAAACTGTGCAAGACAGCCCGTTCCACCTCTAGACCTTGTTCATACATCTCAATGGCATTATCAAAGTCCTGATGTTCGTAAAAGAGGTTCCCCAGCTTGTTAAAGATGGACGCTGTTTCGGCGTGTACGCCCAAGGAAGTTTGCGCGGCAGCCAGCGCCTGTTTGTAGAGAGCCAAGGCCTGTTCAAAGTCGTCCCGTTCATGGTATATTTGGGCCATGCATTTGAGAATGATGGCAACATCCCTGTGCATGGGACCTAGCTTGGGAGCCGTAATGCGGACAAACTCTTCGTAAAACAAGAGTGCGAGATCTAGCTTTCCCTGTTGATGATAGGATTGTCCGGCATTGTAGACGGTAGCTGCGCATGCATAGAGAAGAAAGAGTCAGATGAGATATCATTCACAAGTCACAATATGACTGATAGAGAAGAGACTAAGCACCCCCTTACCAGCAACATCCAAATGATCATGACCTAGCATGGTCCTTCGAATACGAAGAGCCTCTTCATAGACCATGAGTGCATCATCGTAGTGCTGTTCAATGTAATGCACGCGTCCAATGTTGTTGAGTAGTGTTGCCACATCAATGTGATTGTGTCCCAGGATTTCCTTTCGAATGGCGAGCGCTCGAATGTAGCAATCCATGGATCGTAGAGCATTTGGTTCGGGCAGATGGAAGTAGAGGACTCCGAGACAATTGAGTGAATTGGCGACATCAAGTTTGTTCAAGCTTTGCTGCAGTGCTTGGCAGAATGTCTGAATGGCTCCTTCAATGTTTTGTTGTCGGTATTGAATGTACCCCAGGTTATGCAGCACCTTGAAGGGTGGTACCGCTGGAGCGATAATGTAGCGTGGATAGAGTGCTCGTTCAAAGGCTTCTCTTGCTTCGTCATCACGGTCTTGTCCCAGATAGGCTTGTCCCAGGTTGTAGTAGAGGATGGTGGAGGCAGCTGCTAACGGTTCAGCGGCCATTTCCATGATGGTAGCATCCATGCGAATGGGTGAAAAGTACATGTACATGCCTTCATCGTACTCTCTTCGCTGGTAGATGTAGTATTCTCGGGTAGGCGAGGCAGCTGATGACATTGTTACCGTGGTATCTCCTTGCTGTTGTTGTTGGTGGAGTGCGAGTGGAAGGTTGGAGGGATCCAGCAAAGGAAGAGATAACTGATGAGCACTTGTTGAGATACCGTTGGGTTTGCAGGAGGAAGGTCTGCCACCAAGGCTGCTGCTACCATCGGATGCAGAAGAAATCTTGTTGATATCTGGTGAGCAGACTGGTACCGCGGAGGGAGTGACAAAGATGGTGCCACCAGTTCCCGTGGACGCATCGACGGCTGCTGGTCTCTGGAGTTGAGATAATGCCCGACGAAACATGGCAATGGCTTCTTCAAAGTTGGAGGATTCCAATAAGGCGATCCCCGTGTTGTTCAGCCCAATGACAGCGTTGGTAACATCAGCCAAGCCAGTGCGTTGCAGCACACTTAGTTTCTCAGGAGCAGATAACAGATCGCAATAGGGAGATCTTGGTCTGCCACTTCCAAAGCTTCGTTGACGCTGCATGGTTGCGAATATAGAATAGAAAAATGATGGATGTCAAGTTAGTGTGGCTGTGGGCAAGTACCGGTAACTGGGACAGTATCCTTCCGGTTATGGCGTGATCTGTGATTTGACGCACAAGAAGATTGAAATTGTGAGAGGGATCCGTTCTCGGCTTCACGTGGCTTGAAATTGTGAGACACTCTGAGCATCTTTTGGGAGCGGTGGGAGCATAACAACAACATTCCAGCGGATGGCAGCTAGCTAAGAACCATTGTAGAAGATCAGTAGGTTTGTGAAACGGTACCGGCCGGAAACTCCACTTAACACAGGCGATCTTGGGCGATGGATGGCTCTTTTCTAAATAATCAACACAAAGTACCATCACTATGCAAACCCGCTTTTTCAGCTTTCCTTCAACCAAGGATGTCCGGTACTCACTCGGGCCGTAGGATTATGTCGGTACGAGAGGGTGTCTGTCTTGATGGAAGGGGAAAAGGATAACTGGAGAATTCGCAGATGCTCTAACTCTTAAGTTGTTAGGTCACCTCCGAGCGTGAATCGATGGCTCATTTTTGAGTTCAGGTACTCGAGTACAATGGAAAGGAAAGCAGAAAGCAAAACTACCTGTAGCGAATAGATCTAGCCACTGAGGTGTAGCTGGTACGAGCCACTAGATCTAGCTTGAAGGAGCAGTGGTTAGAAGTTTGGTACGGTTGCCAGTGTTGGCTGTGGGTCCTTACCGTACCGTGTACCGGTAACCGGTACCGTAGCAACACGACGCCAATGATGAGGCACGTGATGCGAGGCTTTAGGGTGGAAAAAATAAGTGATTGGACCTAGTAGCTACCGGTAGTGGGTCTGTCGACGGTCAACTAGTGGGCAATCCAGTTGAGAATTCACCATACGGTACAGGATCGGTGCGCAGCTCAAAACCCTTCAACATTCACCTAGTAGTTTCTTTTCACTTCAGCACACCATGGCATAAGCATAATGCAATCTAGCTAGAAAAACAGTTCTCAATTCCAGTTTTTCATCTCCTTGACCTGGTACTGGTACCAATACCGTACCGTGGCCTAGAACTCGAATCGAATCAATTGATGACTGTTGGATACAGAGCTGATTTCAGAGCTGATACAGCCAGTTCGGTTTTCCCCGAGGTAGTTCCTTCTACCGGTACCGGTATTGCAGGTATCAATTTGAATGAACCACCAACATGCTTTGGAAATTGGAAACTCCTGGGCTGACCAGAAACCTCCAAGGACCAAGAACCTTCTCTGTTCAGCATGCGGCAACCAACTTTGCAGCTGGAAACTGTTCCTGGAGAACAACCTCGACGCAGCCTTTCTCCGAGTTAAGGTGGCTTTGAGGAAGTCCACAGTCCAGGAGTCCAGGCAGGCAGCCTGCCGTAAGCTGAGGCTGCAGTACTAGTCTACCAAAAGCTAAGATAGTAGCTTCACTGCCAAACTAGAGTAATACTCCAGTACTTGAGGACTGTGTTTGGCTTTCTTGCACCGAAGCTTTAGCCCAAGATCCGACCAGCCAGCGTCTTACGAGAGAGTTCACGCCATGAACGTTCAAGGAAGCAGAGATATATTATGTCCGCACTGCCAGCTCCCAGCCAAGAGCCAAGCAGCAATCTCACTGGCTCTGCCAAGATCCAACCCACCGGTATCTTTGGGAAAGCTTGAGTTAGATCGCAAAAATTGGATGGTAGCTTGTTTGTTTGTAGTGCTAGGCTTTCAAGGAGATTCACTTTTCCCTGTAGCTCCTTGCTTGCTGGCTGCTGGCTGGCCTCTGGCCAAACAGAGTCCAAGACCCCATTGCACCCATACTCCTCGAAGTGCTGGCTGGACAGCAAGCACTGGACTACTCACAACTCACAACTCTCTACTAGCTAGGTGCAATGTCTTGCTGGGTTCATGACATTCCGAAGTGTTTTTTTTTAAAAAAGAGTCAATCTCCCCACATTGCTCACACCATCATTAGTTCAGGTAGATCTATTAATGGCTGTGCTGGTGTACCGGTACCGGTACGGTGTGGTAAACGGAGTAGTTTTGTAATGATTCGATTCTGGTACCAGTACCTGGTACCTGGTACCATACTAGTAATATATTATTACTGTACAAGAAATGCTTTTTTTAAATTGCAAATTGTGGCAGACTTCACCAGCCAATACCTTTAAATCATCATTGCTTTTGGGTCTTGATGGAACAGCTATGGAACCATTCCAATGGGAAAGAAGGTCAGAAACTACAAGGGCTGAGAAAGTGCTTTGGTGAACGTCAGGCAAGATCTGATTCATTTGAGATTTAACACGTTTTTCCGCACTGGTACCGTCATGGAAATTGACAAGAACCCTTTCACATGGCAACCATCGGTGAACTGGTGCGGCAATCTCCAACCTCCAATGCCGAAGGCTGCACGGCCTCACGGGTCGGTGGTATTGTACGGTACTAGGCTAGCTAGCTAGCTAGAGCTACCGGTAGTAGTAGACAGTGATCTGCCGATTGTCGATTGCCGATACGGTAGTGAAAATCGGATGAGAATGCCGAGCCTGTACCGTCACGACATCCAGTACCAAAGTGTATACTGTGAAAACTTAATTATTTAAGGAGAAGTTGCTTGAGTGTCTTGCTTCAAGATGCGAATACAAATCCAGGTATCAGAGATTTACAAAATTCCACTTACGGTACTGGGTTGAATGCAACGATTTACGAAGCCAAGAAAGCTGGCACCGGTAACCGGCACAGAGCCGCAAGAACTCAAGAACTCTCTGAACGCTGAACCTGTGGGGGTCCTACCTACCGTATCCTCCGGTACGTACAGCAGAATCTCCGTACGTATTTCCAGGAGCTCATGGGGTTACGATGCATACCGGTATCGAAGAGCGAAGAAGTATGAGATGATCCCCCAAGACCTCAAGAGCTCATGCCCAGAATATCCAGGATCACCGGCACGTGGTCGAGGGAACAAAGCGAAGAACCAGGCTCCACACAACACACAATAGCAAGTACATGTACCAACACTTCCTGAGCTGGTTGGGAGTTGGCTCGGTACCAGCAGCGGCGTGAAGCCCATCGCGCAATGAGCCTGGTGAAGCCACCTTCAAGCCAAATGGTCACCTCTCCGCCGTTGGGTTTCAAAAGTATTTGGAACTGAAGTTTGAAGACATGTACTTGTGCAACAAAGCAAGCTTCTCAGTTTCCATGTACTAGTACCGGCAACAGTCACGATGCTCTCGATACCATCATCGCTATCACTATGGAATCCAGGCACCCAAACAACATCAACAGCAGGAGCAGTATCATCAAGAGATTTCTATCCTTCTTAGAAAGCTCCAGCTACTCACATCAAGCTCGAAACCCCAAGCAGCCATGACATTGTATACATCATAGACACACAGGTCCTTCAAGTCACCACGGTGTTCGCAGGCATCCTCTGTGTCTTCCATAGAAATGGAAGATTCACACAAGGGACGAAGTACAACTCTCTCAGTTCTAGGCACGGTGCATATGACAGGGTTCTGGGGGTTAGGTTTGTCTGGAAGAGCTTTAGTTCAGTGTGAAGGACTTGCCATTCATTGCCAAAAGAAAGGGTCCGACATGACAGTACCATGCAGGCAAGCCACTTGCCAGTTCCAAACTCTCCCAATAGGCCCTTGCTACCACTGTACTCTTCATTCAAAGCTGGCACCAACTGTCTTGACACTGACCATTTCCTTGGAGGATTGGACAACAATCTGCAATCCCTTTCCAAGCTCAATGGTAAACACATCCATCTTGGACTTGATCACTTGTGGGTGACAGGGTTCTTGTCATCCATCTTGTCTAGATCCGCATTGACAATACCATCCAACATGGAGCTACCATATTCACCAACCTCCGAAAAGCTGTACCTCCAATTTGGACAGCAACAGACTCAATGTAAAGTACTGGTAGCGAGCCTTGGTTCGAATGTTGATCTCCAGTCCAGTTCCATGGCCAAAGTTGGGGCTGTCCGCAAAGACCAAGTCACATTCTCCATGGAAGTCAAACCACAGTCCAGACCAAGTCTTGAAGTGAGCATCACCAGTGCCAGCTAATCTGAAGAAGGTGTGAGCAGCACAGCCCAATATTTAATGAAGCATTCCTGTTTCACCAGGATCACCATTGATTGTCTTGAAATGTCCAGTAACCTGTGGAAGCATAATCATTGAATTGTGAGATAGGCCCTGCTGGCTTGTCAGAGGTGCATTGTTTGTTCGCACAGATGGCACCACCCGGCCGAACCACAAGAATCAAATCACAATCATCCCAGTCTGTGCCATTCATACAAGTAAGTGGTGCAGGAGCCATCAATCAAATACAAAGTGGATATCATTACTGGATCCACAGCCATCCAGGTGTAAGCCTGTGATGAATCTAGGCTGATGTCAATGTACATATCCCCTGTCCAAAATCAGTACTAGTATGGTCTATGTGCACCCAACATCAAATTCACAGATATTTCATAGGTGACATCCACCACATGTGATGCTGCAAGCAACTGTTCCTGCAGAGCCTGTGAAGCAGGATTCACAAGTTTGGGGAAGAAGAGTAATAGCTAGTTGGTTACAGTTACAGTCTGAGCAATGTAAGAGGCCAACAAGAAACAGCTTTTGAAACATAGTTCTGGTGGTGGCTTGAGGTGTTGTTGTGGAGATGTCGCAATTTCTGTCAAAATTCAAAGGTCAAATGTAGAATAGAAACAACTAGATGGTTTTTTGTTTTATTTTTTTAAGCTTGAAGCCAAAACTGACAGCATCACCACTCAGGTTGCTGTAATGTCCAGAATGATTCCTCATCGAACAATACGCAAGTTGCTTCACATAGTCAAGTAATCTTGTTTGAATGTGTGATTGAGTAGCTCAGCCATGTACCGGTAGCTACGGTAGATAAGAGATGCTACAGTACAACAAAGAAACAAACTGTGGATTTGGGTTTTTCTCCTGTGGATGCTGGAGACCTGCCAACCTTCAAGTGCCTTTAGTAAGTTACTCGGAGTACATGTAGTTACAGTAGACTGCCTGTCAAATGGGATCTGGTAGTCCGGTATTGGGAAGATGTCTCATTTTGTGGGCACGTCGAACTGGTCACCCTCCGCTCCTCGACCTTTTTAAAAAACAAGTCTCCGAATGTAGGGATGAGGATTTGGAGGCGCATTGTCCCCAACGGTTCGATCAGTGGCAATGCCAAACGAGCACATTTTTTGATTTTTGTCTTGCCTTTGTTTCTTGCGAGTCGAGTCAAGTCCAACCATGAGCACTATTAATACTAGCTTGTCTGTTGCCGGTCCCAATGCCGGTCGTCAAATCCTGTCAGTGTTTTGGGAAGGAACAGCCAATACGCTGAACCCCATTACAACGCAGATTGGTGTCTTTTCGCAAGCGTGTTGCGCGGTTCCCGTGGCGGCACCCAATCAAGTACCCCAAGATCGTCGCTGTCCATTAAAAGTGTCGTTTGATGGATGCGGTGTTACCAATGGAAGTTTTTGGGGTGGCTTATTTGCTCGTGGCTTGGAGGAACAATGCGATTTGGTAGTGGCGATTGTTCGGAAAATGCTGCAAAATCACAAGAGTCAGTCTAGTAGTACGAATACTACTACTAATAATAATCAGCCAGAATTCGTCCATGTCGTGGGCGTGGGTCTCTCGCGAGGAGGTGTTGCCTGCATGAAATTGGCCCAAAAATTGGCCAAGGCATTTCCTGCCAATAATACCAATACTGGTTTTCAAGAAGTGACGGCGAGTATGCTCTTATTCGACCCCGTCCCTGGCAATGCTCTATCGACTGGATTCCCCTACACGGCGTGTTGGTCGGGAGATTTGTCCGGATGCCACAATTTACGACGCGTTTTGGCGCTTTATCCCTACGAAGCACTTCCCGATATTGCCATGCATGCACCCTCTCTGTGCTACTACAATCGTCGTACCACTCTCGTCCAAGAAGACGTGACGCTGGGATGCCATCAAGGAGCATTGTTTCCCGCCACGCCAAGACCGCAAAATCCATACCATGTTGCTTCCAACTTGTCCATGAGACGAATACTCGATTTTTTAACCTACGAAGGAGTCCAATGCCAGTTTGCACGGGTCTTTTATGTCCCATCGCCACAAGAATGCATCAAGTACATGGAAAAGGACATACAACGCCATGGTGCCACCGAAACGTTACGACGCAAAGCACATGATTTCACGGGACAACAGCGACAAATACTAAGAAACAAATGTATTGCCAAGACTGATGATGACGATTCACAACAACAACAGTACCACCAATATCTCAATTTTCATCACGAACAATTGGTCAAAGCCTTGCGAAAAGGAACCAGCACGGCCACTCGTGCCGCTGTCTTTGGTGTTGCCGATGACGACAATGAAAACAGCAGCAGTGAGGATGATGATCATGAGTATTCACCCTATCCCAAGTATCAACTGGAAATGGATGATGGATACATCACGTGCACGATGCAATTGACAAACTCCTTTCGACAGCAAGCAACCGCCTGCACCGATACCAGTAAGCGCCGACGACAGCGACAGCAAAAAGAGGAGCAAGGCGATAATCCCAAGGCGCGATTGATTCGTGTCTAACTCAACTACTTTACTAGAGGCGTGTTCACTCAAAACATACAGCACGCAATCCTCCACCATGCAGTGACGTGCCTCTAGTTGAACTTGATCTCTGTGGAATCTGACAACTATCGGTAGCTAGCTAGACTAGAGCAGAATTAACCAGAAAAACCTTTTTTTGCCTTGAAATCTGTGTTTGGGTCTTCCGCCCCCGCTTTTGAGGAAGGTTGAAGCAGTGGGAGAGAACGCTTGAGCGCATCTTTTCTTGGCACTACTCTCATCATGATGTTATGCCTCTAATTCCGTGCAATTCCTTTTATGCTTCCCTCCAGATTATTCATTTCGTTCCATTTATTTGTAGATTGAGGTGTTACCACACGGTACATGTAGGAACAAGGACCCGGACGAGCAAGTTCATTCCGCCGCCTTCTTACAAAACATTCTGGCCGGGGGCGCACCGGAAACCACTTCAAACACAAACTTTCTGGGTGAGGTTGACAACGCCTTGTTAGTGGCCGACTCCCAAACTGTTTAAACATACTCAGTAGTGGCCTACTAGTCTAGCTACCTAGAGGGAGCCAAACTACAAAACCATGCAAATTGTCTGTCTTAGTCATTGGTATCATGCCCCCTGCTCCGTCTTCCATTCATCATATTTCTTCAGCTGCCCCTTTGACACACTCTTGGTTGCTTGTTCAATGGCATCATCAAAGTCTTCAATGGCAATGGGTCGAACATCATTTTCGCGAACGCTTCTAATCTCATCCAAGCTTCCCACAGAACGGAGGGGTCCAAAGGATGCCTCTGATGCAATGGCCTGAATGTCGGATCCACTAAAGCCCTTTAGTCTTTTGACAATATCTGAAATGTCACTCTTGTCGAGAGAATGTTTGCCAGCTTTTTTCAAAAGCGACTTGACCAGTGCCTTTCGGGCATCCTTGTCTGGTAGTGGCACAAAGATCCGTCGAGAGAATCGTCTCAAGATGGCCGAGTCCACATCCCAGGGACAGTTCGTACAGGCAATCAAGAGAACTCTATTTTTGTCGTTTGTAGGGCTGATTCCATCCATATTAACCATGAATTCTGTCTTGAAACGTCGACTGGCCTCATGTTCCCCATCACTCTTTCTCGTGGACAACAAACTATCAATTTCATCAATAAAGACAATGGAGGGCGAGCATTGCTTTGCTGCTTCAAAGAGTGCTCGCACCAGCTTTTCTCCTTCTCCATGCCATTTGCTAGTCACAGAGCTAGCGGAACACACGAATAGACTGCACTGTGGTTTCATAAAGAATACATACATGCATTAGCACAACACAGAGCATCAAGCTTCCCGCCCAACAAACAAACATCACTATCGACAACACACCTTGCTTTCGTAGGCAACCGCTTTGACCAACATGGTTTTTCCAGTTCCGGGCGGTCCGTAGAGCAAAATATTTTGTGGTTTTCTGAGTCCAGTGAACAAATCAGGTCTGATGAGAGGCATGATCGCAGCTTCTTGTAGAGCCTGCTTGGCAGGTGCCAGCCCAGCAATATCATCCCTGAGGGAAGCAGCAGAGTGCAAGTGATTAGCAAAGTTTGAGGACACACACGGGAGGGCACGTGGGTATTCACGGTATCTAGCTAGATGGAAGACGTACCAAGTTGTATATTGCAATTTTGCCTGTGGAACATACATATCATTCATGACAGTTTGTCGAATGAGCTGAGATTCTTTGGCCGCTAGGTTGGCCAATGCACCTCCCTGTTGTGGTTGCTGCTGCCTGGCAGGTCGTGAATTACGTGCAACTGTATTCACAGGTCGGCTGGCTACATTAGTATTGCGGAGAGATGTTTGTTGTCGTGGAGCTGCTGATTTTCGTGGAGAGGTTGCTTGCTGTCCTCCTATTGGTCGATAAGACGGTGCTGGTTGTGGTTGTTTCTTTCCTTTTGACGGTTGTGCATTTCCTACCCTAATTTTTGCTAGATATTCCGTTATTCTGGAAAAGCAGGTTCGTTTCATGGGAGATTCTGTAGAGGATTCACAGGTCGTTTGACCTTGCTTCACGTCTCCTCGCTTGATGCGTTCCTTGATATACTCCGCATCGGAGAGTGCCACTCGTATACGCTCTTGCAGAGCCTCCTTATCGTACGTTGAAATGGCAGGGTCCTGCAGCGACCGAATCAGCACCTCAATGGCAGACTGGTAGAGTTCCAAAGCGCACTGAGCGTGTCCCTCTTCTCGCAGTAAATCGGCTTCATCCAGACCCCTCAATCCTAATGACACGGCCTCCTGCTTGCTTGTAGTAGAATTCCGGGGTGATGATGCGGGTGTTGTTGGTGACGGTTTGGGGTTGCTACGTCTTCTCATTGCCATTGCCTGTTGCATGTCATGAATGTACCGATCCGATTCGCCATGGGGCTTGCTGATGGATGTCGAGTCTTGTTGCTCCATTATCCTCCGCTACAGAATGATGGGATTTGGTTCGTACCTTTCCTCCAGATAGACTACCCAAAGATGATGGGTCTTCTCAACAAAAAAGGGAATGCACACGATCCACGCTTTGGGCGAGAGGGGGAGAGAGGTTCCGCACGAATGATTGTACGTATAACAGTGTACTGGTACGGTACTTAAAGCTTATGTCGATTTCACACTGTTAATTCCTGGATGTTTGGGGTATCTCCCGCTCTCCACGCTGCAATTTTCCACGTAGTACCTCCCCTAGAGTTGCTGGTGCCAGTTTGGTACGTAATGTACCGGTACCAGAAGCAGATTGATCATTCAGCTTATTGTCCTGTCATCATGATGCTTGAATAGAGTGCTCGTTTGCTTTGTCTCCTTTCATTGTTGCCTCGCATGAATTACCCAGGTGGCTGCCCTCGATTTCAGAGGCTCTCCATCAGAACAGGGTTGAAGATTGATTGGAAGCAATCCTTTGCAGACCAAGAAGAGCTACCGCTACTCTAGCTAGCTAGACCAAGTATATTCTTTCTTTTTCAAGTCCTTCATTGGAACCACGAATCTCTGTTAATGCGTCTCGCACTCAGCTGAGATCAGCTACGTGGTACTAATCATGGGTATACTACATGTATTTCAAGGCTGAAAGATACCAACACAATCCTCTTATGCACATGAGCTTTTATAATTTTAAATAGCTCAACCAACGAACGTCTACTACAGTTCCATCCAATATCCAATTTATCATTCATTTTGATAGCATCTGCTTAGGTTTTGTTCATTGCAGCTATTCTGTATCGGTCTTGGTACAATCAATGTGAATGAAAGAGTCTTGGAGGTAGCAAGTAACTGGCGCAATTCTTTAATTCTCATGTTGGGGTTGCTTTGGTGGATTGTTGTGTGAACTGGTGCAAGGTTTCCAAATAAACTTTCATTCTGCCCCCATTATCTATCTTGGCCTCCAGATTTATTTGTTGGCAAGAGGAAAAGTTGGGCCAAAAGCAACAGTCTGGTGACAATCTAGCTAAAAATCCCCTGATCGCACAGGATTGATATCCCCCAGGTCAATGGATGTGTCCGTTTTGATGGCTTGGTATTTGCTGAGATCGTCCTGGCCAACCGGTACCTGCGAGAAAAAGCCAACAAACACCACAAACGCAATCGAAGCCAATATGGCGGGAATGGAGATTCCACCTTCGGAAGTTTCCTCCACGGAAGAAGAAGAAGAACCACCATCCTTCCAAGCTTCCGACAACATTTCTTCCATGGGTTGCACGGCTCTCTTGGCAGGGCCTCGTCCCACAAAGTCATCGCTGCTGGTGACCACAATGGCGGGTTCTTCGGTTTCCTCTTCGACCACTGGTTCTTCCTCTTCTTCTTTTAATTTCCGAAGTTGTTCTTCCAATTTGGCAATTTCTTCGTCCTTGCTGCTTCGGAGTAAGGATGTTTGTCGTCGATGGTTGCATGTCGTCCATTTTTGCCCTTGGGAGCTAGTAGTACGTGTAGTGGGAATGGCAAATCCATCCACGGCCAACACAAGGCCGCAAAGTGTCAAGAAAAAGGCAACCGGATGCATTCTCAAGGCAAAGAAAGAGTATTGGGGATGATGCTTCGATTCGAGTGTTTGTGGATGGCAGAGTTGAGTTGAGTTGTTACTTGCTTGTGTTGGTCCGTAGTTTTCTTGATGGACTGACGTTTGTGGTCAAGTCCAAGATCGCGACTGTGTGAATGAATTTTCGATCGAATCGAGTCGAGTCGAATCTTCAATTCGAATCAATCGAACGAAGTCGACTCGACTGACTCAAGTGCACTACAATGTACATGTACATGTACACATGTACAGGTATACTCCAACCCCAAGAGTTTGAGGACGGCTCAAATAGATATTTGTTCACTGCATTATTGGATGGACACCATGGGGGACTGTTTGCTCAACCCACAAAGGAGTTTCCTGAGGTGATATAAAGAAAAGTGTGGACCTGTCTTTTGCCACCAAGATGACCCTGTCGCTGAGGAAGTTGGAGCCAGGAGCTTGGATGAGTTCAATCCCTGGCTGGGGCTCTATATCTCATCAGAGACCACAGATGAGGGACACTTGAAGGCTTTTGATTCTGTACCAATGTCAGATGCAGAGTGAGACGTCATCTTCATGTACCATTGTGGTGTTGGGCCAGCCACCACCTGATGTGCTGTTTTGGAGATTCCTAGGGTCAAGGAAATGAAGGATTTGGTTTCTGATGAGCTCATTGCAACACTGAGTCCAATGACTAGTACCTTGTTTCCCTCAAGCGTGAGAAAGTCCCAACTTTGCCAAGCTTGCAGTGTCCCACAATGAGTCTGCAGATACTCTGATTCGATTCATGCTGTGCCAATTATACTGACAATGAAGAGGGCTGAGTTTTGATTGGTGGCAGGAGGTGGAATCCTCACTGCTGTCTCTGCATCAATAGTTCTAGCTAGGAGGACTGGGGAAACAGCAGCGAGTGACGAAGTGTTGCACCCACCAAAAGCTGCTGGATTGAATCATTAAACATCATGTTGTGGGATCGTGGGCTTCACAAAAGCACCATGGCCAGCCCTCATAGTACCATAGTACTACCCTAAGCAGCTCATGCTGAAGAATTGATACAATCTGTAGCTCTACTGTAGCTAGCTAGCTTGCAGTCGCATCAAGCCACGATCTGGCTACTAGTACCGGTAGGCCTTGCTCGTTGTGCATCTCCTGTTCGACAAAGATACTAGTACATGCCCAACCCGCCCATGATCAAGACTACATGCCCAAACAGAGAAGAGTGCCGTGAAACCCAAAAGTTCTTTGGCCTGGGCTGTACCTCCATCTGCCTCGTCATCATCGGATCATCAACGGTACTCAAGGAAAATGCAGGTCTGTACTACTTTTTTGGTGAAATGACGTCGGAATTGCACAATTGGCTGATGTGCTTCCGGGCTTCTTCTTCGAAGTTCCAGCGTCGTGGGTACGGTATCTTCCAACTTCCGAGAAGAACAGTTCACGGTGTCTGCAGCTGCATCATTTCTTCCGCCGTTGTGGCCGTCCATCAAGACCATCAAAATAATCTGGGTTCCATCGTCGCCTTTTCCATTGGTTCCTCATAATCTAAGGACTGGAAAAGGTCAAAGCAAAAGATACCCTTGGTCTGCTGTTTCATTTCCTTGAAGATTTCTCTGATCTCTGAAGCAATAAGCAAAATGTTGCACATTCGCCGCTTGGCCGCTTCCAGGAATGTGGCCGCATTGGCTCGAGGTCCCGTGGTCCGAGCCACCACGACAACTTCTCGATTGCATCAGCCAACCTTTCGAGCTTTTTCTTCCTTGACAGATCCTGGTTCCCATCTGTTCGCCAGTCATTTGGGTGCTATCGATAGCCCTGCTCCACAAGTTCCTGCCGACGAAGTCCCCCCCGCTGTCAAGGATGCCCAGCTTCGAGCCGATATTCGTGCCATGGGAAGAATGTTGGGACAAGTCATTCTGCAGTATGAAGGTCAAGGTACGAAAATAAATGGAAATCTTATTGCTTCCATCCATGTAACCTTCAGTCTTTGTTCATTGAACCATGTTCATGCATGCGCACATTCTGACTTGGTTGCTGATTTTATCATTTTCTGTTCTTAGATATCTTTGAAAAGGTGGAAAAAATGCGTTCCTTGGCAAAGGTGAGAGGACCGATTGATGGTGATTGACAAAGTGGATACCATTTTTTCCTGGCTCACATCAATCTCATTTTTTCCCGGTATCGGTTCCATATCTGTTCACAAAATAAATAGACCCGCCGTGAAGCTGGAGCCGGTCGAGTGGAAGAAACCAAGGCAGAATCGGAAGCTGCATTCCAAGATTTGGCAGAATACGTCTCCACATTTAGCAAGGAAGAACTCTTGGTGGTCAGCCGTGCCTTTACGCATTTTTTGGCATCGGCCAATGCTGCCGAAAAACACCACACTAAACGCGTGTTGGAAGAGTTCAACACCACCAAGGGAGCATTTTACGACAAGGCGGATAGCAGTGGACAGGTCATGGCAAGCTTGGCAGAGGAACATTCTCCTGATGCAGTCTGGAAAGCATTGACAACGCAGACCGTAGAATTGGTTTTGACCGCGCATCCTACCGAAGTCAATCGTCGTACCATTCTAGACAAGCACCGTCGTATTCAAGAGGTACGTTAAAAAAAGAATGGTGTGTACCAAATGCTGCATTGGTCAGTTTCGCTAACCTTTCAAATATCCTACAATCGAATGATGAAATTTCAGGTCCTGACTGACGCCGACGCACTTCGTAACAGTGGTAGAACCACAACCGACTTTATGAAGCAACAACTCAATGATAGTCTTCAGCGGGAAATCTCTTCCATTTGGTTGAGTGACGAGGTGTCCCGACAAAAACCCACGCCTCAAAACGAAGCCGAAAAGGGAGTTCTCGTGGTGGAAACGGTTCTTTGGAAGACTGTACCCAATTTCCTCCGCAAATTGGATGCCACGGCACAAGAGTTCCTGGGACGTGGCATACCGCTCGATGCTGCTCCCATCCGTTTCGCCAGTTGGATGGGTGGAGATCGTGACGGCAATCCCAACGTCGAGCCGGATACGACACGTGAAGTTTGTCTCAAGAACCGGGCCAAAGCGGCGGCGCTGTTTTCCAAGGATTTGCAAGAGCTCTGGAAGGAATTATCGCTCACAACCTGTTCGGACGAATTGAGGAAGCAAGTGGGAGAGGATGTCAGAGAGCCCTACCGAAAGTTCATGGTGCCGGTAAGTTCTAACGATACTATTTTTGGCGCTGCTTTGGAAATCGTCTGACTGAAAAGTGGACCCAACTCTTCTCCTTTCAACTACTCAACGTTATCAACGAAAGATGTTTGAGAAGCTGCAGCTGACACAAAAATGGGCCGAACAGGAAATGAAACTCTTGACTGGATCTGCTGGAGCCGATGTTCATTTCGACAAAATTGAACCGACAGAGATCTATCTAACCAAAGATTCATTCAGGGATGACCTTCTCTTGATGCATCATTCTCTCTGCGAAACTGGCAACCATGTGGTTGCTGATGGTTTCTTGGCGGATATCCTCAGGAACGTGTCTGCCTTTGGATTGACTTTGGTGCCCCTGGACGTGCGACAAGAAAGTGACAAACACGAGGAGGCACTTGATGCTGTGACTCGCTTCTTGGGACTGGGGAGCTATTCTCAGTGGGACGAACAGACCAAGGTTAATTGGTTGACCCAACAACTTGCCTCCAAGAGACCCCTTCTTCGCCCCGGAGTTTGGCATGACCACCCTGATATCTTTTCTGAAACAACAATTGACACTCTTGGGATCTACCAGATGATTGCAGAGCAATACGAAGGCAGCCTTGGCGCATACGTAATTAGCCAAGCCACGAGCGCCAGCGATGTGCTTGCCGTGTTGCTCCTGCAGCGAGATGCAGGTGTGAAGAAGCCACTTCGTGTCGTACCGCTCTTTGAAACACTTGATGACTTGAATGGAGCCGGCGAAACCATGAAGAGTCTCTTCTCGAATCCAGTCTACATGGGGAGTATCGCTGGAAAGCAGGAGGTTATGATTGGGTATTCAGATTCTGCGAAGGATGCTGGAAGACTTGCAGCAAGCTGGGCTCAATACGAAACCCAAGAGGAGTTGGTACGTAGTGGTTTCTATGATACGTTTGGCGGTATTTCTATGGTCGTTCGACTCATCTTCGTCCTGCAAATGATGTAAAATTGTAGGCTCAAATTGCTCGAGACTTCAACGTTGAGCTCACCTTTTTCCATGGCAAAGGAGGAACTGTTGGTCGTGGAGGCAACCCGCAAACTTTCAAGGCCATCCTTGCCCATGCACCTGACACTATCAACGGGCATTTCAGAGTGACTGAACAAGGAGAGATGATCTATCAAAACTTTGGACATTACGACAGAGCAGAGCGCACAATGGACATTTACACCTCCGCCATTCTTGCTGAGAAACTCACCAAGCGAACGAAGCCTTCTACCGAATGGCGCAACATGATGAAGAAATTGTCCGATATCAGCTGCGAGGCCTACAGAAAGGTAGTTCGAGGCGACGAACGATTTGTCCCCTACTTTAGGTCTGCCACGCCGGAGTTGGAGTTGGCCAGTCTGAACATTGGGTAAGTAGTTTGCGCGGACGCTTGACAAAGGCGAAGATTGTGCTGCTCATCCACATGTGCTCCTTGATTGACGTTACACCCAGGTCGCGACCCGCAAAGCGCAAAGCCACCGGTAAGTTCTGTCCACGTCTCATAGAGATACGAAGGAAAAATTGCTCCTATCTCACACTAAGATCTTACGCAATGCAGGTGGAGTCGAGAGTCTACGAGCAATTCCTTGGATTTTTGCTTGGACCCAGACTCGTTTCAACCTTCCTACTTGGTTGGGCGTTGGAGAAGCCATCGGTTCCGTTTTGAAGAGTCCTGATGCCGACTTGCTTCGCACTATGTATCGCGACTGGGGATCCTTCCGAACCACTATCGACATGGTTGAAATGGTCTTAGCCAAGTCGGACCCGTCCATTGCCAAGCATTACGATGAGGTCTTGGTGACAGAGGACAAAGCCAAGGCGCTAGGAACTGAAGTTCGTGCTCTCCACCAGGAAACCGAGGGCGTTGTTCTAGACTTGGCCGGGCACACAACCCTGAGCGAAGACAACAGCATTCTGAGACGGCAACTTGCTGTCAGAGATCCATACGTGGACTGCCTGAATGTGTTGCAGGCAGAGACGCTCAAGAGGATCCGATCTACAGAAGGTGCCGAGGACGACAAGGTGTTGAAGGATGCCTTGATGACAACCATCTCTGGTGTCGCCAACGGAATGGGAAACACCGGCTAAAGGGTTGGATGAGTGGTTCAACAAGACGAGGTATTTTGGTTAGTGGTTTCAATCCTTGACTTGTGTAGTAATATCGTTAGGATGCATAGAGAGTTTTGTTGTATGTCATGCCTTAGCTTCCTACAAGAACTAGATAGCTGCAAACAGATTCGACTCCTGACGAAAGGTCCGGGCTCTCCGTGGAACAGAACCGATGTTGCTCGTACCGGTGGCCCATGGAGCGGCTGGTCTCGGTCCGGTCCCACACGCCAAGGTCGCGGCTTCCTATTATTACTAGTAAGCAAGTGTCTTCTCTCTACGAATGAACTCCTTATACCGTAGTTCGGAACGACAACACATGACGAAAGACCCGCGTCCCCCGCAATACCCTCCTGAAGTTGAATGATTCTACTAGCTAGCAAGTAAAGAATGTTCGTGGCTGGCTGAAAATCAGTGTCTATAGCATTGTGTATTTATACAAGAGCTCAGCTCGACCTGAAGCAAACAGCTTAGTGAACGGCTCCTTCGGGAAGGACACTGACACCCAACTTCTCGTGAACCATAAGTCCAAGAAGACCCATCTGTGCGGCACGTCCTTGGTTCAATTCAATGGCACGCTTCTCAAGCTTTTGTTCTTCGCTGAAGAGGTCCCATCCGAAGTCAATGTATCCATTGCGGAAGTCACCGGGGAATTCACCAACACCGACATCCTTCATGAAACCCAATTCAAGGCCACCAATGAAGGCAATGATTTGGATAAGTCCAAATTGGGGCATGGCGGAGAGGGCATCAAATCCCGAAGGAACATCAGCGAAGGTGGTTCCGTCGTAGGAGATCAATCCTGGAAGACGGCTGCCTCCGTCGGTGAGGAGGTATCCAACAACTCCAAGCATACAGATACGTCCGTGCTTGATCTCAACATATCGAAGACGGTTGAACTTCTCTTCATCACCATCAGCGACAAGGCCAAGGGGATCGAAGAAACCGAATGGTTCTTGGGCTCCAAGTTCGTTTTCGAAAGCGTTCATGCTGACCGAAGTGCGGGTGGCCTCCTTGGCAGGGGCGAAAGCCGAGGCGGCGGCGATAAGGGATGCGATGATGGCGGTCTTCATGGTTAAGTCGTTGTAAGTTTCTGTATTGACAAGATTGTGAGCAACTGCGGTCGAAACGTCGAAACAGGCAAGGTGCGAACGTAGAAAAGAGGAGGGAGTGGAGGTGGCAAAGCCCACAAAAGCATTCTGAAATTCAACCTTTGTCGGATCAACTTGCAGTTACGTACCAAAGATACTGTACTCAAGATTTGGGGGACCACCCCTCCTCTTTGCAATGGAAAATCAGAGCGTTTTGCAAGCCACTCTTTCCTCTTTGGCTCTCCCCTTTTCGAGAGACTGCACGATGACCTCAAGTTGAACCTTTTGGATCGGCGGTTGTTTTACGACTGGACTCGTCACCCTACTCAGTCCCTAGATCAAGTCATGAGCTTTGCAAGAATGAATTGACGACTCAATGGATTCAATGGACTACAGTGTACCAGTTTGCGATTCTACCGTTATGATGTCAACTTTCGGAAGTCGCACTGGATCTTTCGTCACCGAAGATTTTTTCATCTCTGCATTTTTCTTTGGAAGTGACCTTCCTTTCCTTGGCGTGCTGCCTTGCATTAGGTTTCGGTAGTTTATTCTTTTCCACTTGCTTGTTTGCATTTGTTCGATCTGCCAAGCTACGACCATGATGATGAAGCCTACCCTTGGGACTGTTCTGCTTTCCTTTTTTCTCTGCCTATGTTCGAGCGATGCTTCTCGCGGTTTTCGCCCCAGGAGAATGAGTGCAAAGGGAGGACATCCCGCAATCCCATCAGCCAGTTTCCAGGGCGCATCAGTGACTACCAGCGCCACCTCTCCAATCGATGCTGCTGCTGCTACCAAAATGGGGCCAAAGTCATTCCAGGCTCCTCCTTGGGCAGAAATCTTGAAGATCCCAATCCCCGTGCCAACCCAGGAAGACTTTGATTTGTTGCCTCCTGGCAAACGCCTTGGCATAATGGCTCGATCCTCTGTGCTTCACCTGACGCTCCTATCCTGCTTGGGACCATTGATTCTGAGAGGGGCCATTCGATCTGCCCTCAAGTCCCCGTCCTCCATTCCATTCACTCCAGGACTGGCGTTGCTCTGGACATTGGATGTGACTTCCTGGCACGCATTCCACAATATGCTGAACGACTGGCAGGACTTGGACGGTGACGACAAGGCTCCAGATAGCTTTCGATCGGACTATGGATGTCACGCACTCAAGCAAGGCTTTGTTACCAAAGCTCAGTTTGCACGATACATGACAATGCTAGGCTTGCCGGGGATCATTTTAACCATTTACTTTGCAGTCACAAAGTCGGTGGTGGCTCCTGCCAGTCCTTGGGGGTTGGCAGCCCTCGCTTTGTACACCATTCTCTTTAAACCATTGGCATTGGGAGAGGTATTCATCTATCTCGTGTGGGGCCCACTCATGGCAGGCTATGGAGGAATGGCGGCAGGAGTACCCAACAGCAACAATCTAGCCGACTTGTTTACCAGTCCAGTTTCGGCGCTTTTTGGATTGGGAGCCTTTTGTGTCATTATGGGCAAACATACTGACAAAATCAATCGTTCCGAAAAGAAAACTTTGCCCAAACTGGTGGGATACCCCGTGGCCCTCTTTCTCTGTGGTGCCTCCCTCCTGGCCCCTCATGTACTGCTTTTGGCAACCCTTGTCTACGAACGAATCCTCCACCCGGATGCTGTTCCTACCATTCCTCTGGGGGCTGGTTTAGCATTCCTGACATTGTTCCGAGAGCTACCGGCATCACTCAAAGTATTGAGATTGGGACAAATCAAGAATAACCAGCCAACTATTCCGGCGGGTACAATCATCAAAGGGACGCTGGAAGACGTGGAAATCTACAAAAGTTGGCCTCTGTGGTTTGTCGCCTTTCTAGGGTGGCATGCAATTACGTTCTCCTATCTGGTTGTGGTTGGTTCCGGAATGGAGTGGATGGGACGAGCCATTCTGAAGAGAGTCATCTCATAGGAGAAAACGGTCAATCCATATCTCCACCACATCAGTCGTACGACACAACCCATCTTTCACCACCACAAAGGGGTTCTACAAGATCAAAGGCAGCACGTCAAAAAGTAAAAGAATACTACTTAACTTAACCTTATGTAGAGAGACAACATTGTATAGTCCCTTATTGCTTCTCTGTCACCCGTATGGGTGCGCCCCTTTTGTTTGCTCGCTCTTTTCCCCCTCTTTTGTGTTGCGGCTCCTGCTGCCTGTACGACAAATGCCTTGCTTGCTTTCAGTACGAACAATGCGCTAGTCGTGTCCCAGGTGGAAAGACACAGGGAGAGCACCAATTCAGTCGCCCGCTGGTGTTGTTCGGATTCGACCAATTGGCTGCATGCACAAACGATCGATCTCCATTTTGACTCAACGAATCCGCAACTGGCTTTCTCCATATCCAGACTCCCCCTTCTCCATCGCTCAAAATCCGACTGTTGCGAGGACAGTCCGTGTCCAACGCCACTACTTGAGCATCCCTGGTGGCTGTTTCTTCTGGAGGGTCCAGACGACAAAGTTTCCACACGTTCGCGCCGGTATTGTTCGGATGTGGTTGGCGACAATGCACAAACACTTGATCCATAGCGTTTCCCTCAACAATATCTTTGATTCCGTCCACCGGAATATCCAAATCGTAGGAGAAGCAAGTTGTCGTCGTGCGTGCATCTGTCGTCGTCGTGGATGGTTGCTGCTGCTGCTGTTCCACCTGGACCCTTGTCAAGATGGATTGCAATCGTCCCCCCGGAGATAAAAGAAACACAGAGTGTCCCATGGCATCACCCATCACTTTGGCGCCCCTGGGGATCCCTCCATACATCAAGACGGGGTTGGAAGGGTCTTCCACAGACACATGCCAAAGACTGGAAAAGGTCGATTGCAGTTGTTCCTCGTCGTCGTCATCCTCATTAGTATTAGTAACATTGGGCTGCAACAGATAGACACCCCCCGATTGTGCATCCATAAAGATCCTGCAGTAAGCTGGCATGGCAGTACTGTTTCCCATGACTTGTCCATTCAATGCAGCTCGTGAATAATGCACCAGCCGGTAATCACGCTTATCCCGCTGATACCGTCGACGACGATCGGATTGTCGTCTTGTTGCTGTGGGATCGCTGCTGCTGTGGTCTGCTGGTTCCGCCGGACGATTCCGAACATTGTCGGGAAGCGAGGGTTCGGGGATGAGAGCCCAAATGCCTCCTTTTCCATCAGGTACAAACTGAGCATTCCTTGGAATTCTGTATCGAAAGCTGGGTTCGGATCGTTGATGGTAACTACTAAAGATGCTTCGTTCGTTGTATTTGAAATTCTTGACGTAGTAGACATTCCAAAGGTTCCGATGGTTGTTGGATGGCGGTGGTGTGTGGACGTAGACTCCATGCATTCCATTGGGTACCATGCGTGTCCCTCGAGGAAACTGTTTGGAAACTTCGAGATTGTTGAGTCCATGTGGTACGGCGCCTTCACAGTAGTAAATGAGATTGACTTTTTCGTCATCTGCCATTTCCGGCACCAGTAGCCACTGTCCGGTTTTGGGTAGACTTTGGATATTATCATCATCTGGAGTGGTATCTACCATGAATCCTGGATGATATTGGGAGAGGCGCCACAAAATGGCATCGACATCTTCCAAATCAAAGTCCACCGATCCTTGTCGTTCCGAGAATAGTTCGTCGTCGTCATCATCATCGGAATCTTGAAAAAAGGAACTGTCGGCATCATCGTCATCATTATCCCTAGCTTCATCAGACCGATTGCTTGTAAATGGTCCTCTCGTAGTACTGGTAGCATTGGCTCGTCCAAAAGGAAAGTTGTTGCTATTGTTGTTTTCCATGCCCTCGACAATATGAGAATTGGCAAATTCCTCCAATGCGGTTTGAGAGGAATGGAGCATTCCAAACGATGCGGCAATCATGCGCATGGCAACTTCCATTTCATTGTCACTCTCATTAGTATTATTGGCATGATTGTGAGTGCGTGGTGGTGGTGCTGCGGCTTGTCGGACCCGTAGATCTTCGTCTCGATTCTTGGTGGATCCGCCCAAGAGTCGAAAATCGTTTTGACAAATGGCATGTCCACAGGAGAGTACTACCATGGGAGGTCCAGCGGCGTCTTCGAGACAAATGGGACAGGCAAAGGAAGCGTAGACGACTCGGGCGTCGTGCGAGTACACATCCTCCGTAGTACTATTGGTGCTGGCAGTATTTGTAGGAGGAGGGATGTAGGGATGATGGCGTTTGCAAACGGGGCAAGACAGACAATCGTCGCCGTCATTACTCAAATCGTCGTCGTCGCTGCTGGAGCTGTCATGGAAAAAGTCTCCTCGATGCATGCGTCTCGTAAACCCATAGACGATTTCTTCCAACGCCAAAAAATCTGCGTCCGATTGATGGCGGGGCATGATAATGGATGGATAGATAGATAGATGAATACGGTAGCAATCAAGGTATACTGAAGATAGGTAGATACCGGTAGATATCAGTAGGTAGATACGCAATGGGATAATGACAATCAGATCCAATTCAATCCCATATCTTGGCACCTCTGGCCAAGAATTCGCAATTCGCGGATTTGGAGAAGAATGGGTATCTGACCAAGTGCACCGTAGATTTCGGCGGTATTCAAGGGTTTGGCAACTTTGTAACTTCAGCTAATGAACTGCTGGATGATTATCAGACAGTCTTATTAATTAATCACCCAACCAAACTGATAATCCAAGGAGAAATACAACACAATAACTCTCAGGATGGCTTGTCAAGAAGAATAATGGCTTCAAGAATGCAAAATCGGTGATGTCTCGTCTTCTTGTTTGGTCTTGTTGTCTTTCCGTCTCCCGTGTGTCGTTTAGTCACGTGTTGATAAATCAATAATTGACCCTATCAATCACGTATAACTAGTGACTGACGTCATTCATCCAACCACTTTTCTTCTCTGTTGCCTCTTGTTACCAGGGGAAGGGACACTCGGAGCCGAGTGAGTAAGCTTGAAGGCGATATTAGAATTTCATAGCTTACCCCCGTGTGGGTCTGAAGTATAAAGTGAAGTTGAGTTTACGCGGTGTGAAAGTACGTGAAGGACTAATCAATCGGAGAATGCGGTGAACAGATATTTTTAGGGTTAAGATTATTATGCTGCTGCGCTGCCTAGCATATGTGTGACTCCGTCATTTTTTGTTTTCGTTTTTGGTTTTTTTGTAGAGTCTTGGAATTTGGATTGAGTGATTGCACAAGATATGGATACATTGATT